CTCAATGGTCAGTGTGTACAGGCCCGACCCCGGCTGCCGAGTGAAGGTAGCCAGGTGACGACCCGTCTGAGCACACGTGCAGTGTGTCACACGCTCGTAGGCAGGGGTGAACTGGTGAACACCCGCGTCCTGGAGCGCAGAACCCGCCACCAAGTTCGTAGAAAACGAGGGGAGGTAAAGACCCGACAGTGTGCCGGACGGGACAGCAGGACAGGGGAGGACAGTGGTGGAGGTCGCACGGACTGGACCCCCAGAGGGGTCTGCCAGAGAGACTGCAATCGGCCGACTGAGCGGCGTGAGGGTGGTGCTGTCGCGAAAGAAGGAGCGAGAAGCACCGGAGTCAAGTGTGAAGGTGTAAAAGGCCTCAGCAGGCGCAGTACCAGAGAGAGCAGTCTCACCAGCACCTAGCGCAGCAGCCTCACCAGCACCTAGGGCAGCAGCCGCACCAGCACCTAGAGCAGCAGGCTCTATACCTGGGTCAGGCGGTACGCACAGGTAACAGACACCGTCAGCACTAGTAGGCAATGCATACATGGCAGTGAGAATAGCATCATAGTCAAGAGCAAATACATCCACCCTCTGCCTAAGCAGCTCCAGCCAGGTGGGGAGCTCAGCCTCGTCGCCAAACTCGGTACGCCAGGCGTCGCTCAGACGGGCGAAGCAGCGGGACTGTGTGTGACCAGGTGTCCCGCAAGGCTGACCAGCCCGATCACCTGTGCGAATGACGTACGGGCAGCGAACGGGACTCAAAGACCCTCTAGTCTGAGCGTACCACTCGTGAAGCTGCTGGGAAGTAAGTGTCTCGCGTTGACGCCGCTGCAGCTGCAGCTGACCACTGCCAGACGCTCCCAACTGACCAGCTCCAGGGCGACAGCTACGACGGCTACCGCCACAACCCCAATTAGCATACCACTCACGAAGCTGCTGGGGCGGGAGAGACTCGCGTGGATGTCGCTGGAGCTGCATCTGGCCACCGGCAGTAGCAGCAGCAGTAGCCTAGCAGTAGTAACAGAAGGAGCGGCAGTAGCAGCGCGGGCAGGGCAGGCGCGGCAGGCAGGCAGGCAGGCAGGCAGACAGGCAGGCAGGCTGGCAGGCAGGAAGATGGCGCGGCAGCGCGCTAACAAGGCAGGTGCTCACCAGGCGGGAAGGGCAGGCGCACGCCGGGCGAGCAGGGCCGGCGCTCGGCGGGCGGCTGCTCTGGGTCCAGGGGCGGCGTCGCGGGTCCAGGGGCGGCTGCACGGAGTCCAGGGGCGGCTGCACCAGGGGCGGCTGCTGCAGGGGCCAGGGGCGGCTGCTCTGGGTCCAGGGGCGGCTGCTCGAGGGTCCAGGGGCGGCTGCACCAGGGGCGGCTGCTTCAGGGGCCAGGGGCGGCTGCTCGGGGTCCAGGGGCGGCTGCTCCAGGGGCGGCTGCTGCAGGGGCGGCTGCTGCAGGGGCCAGGGGCGGCTGCTCTGGGTCCAGGGGCGGCGCTCGAGGGTCCAGGGGCGGCTGCTCTGGGTTCAGGGGCGGCTGCTCTGGGTTCAGGGGCGGCTGCTCCAGGGGCGGCTGCTTCAGGGGCCAGGGGCGGCTGCTCTGGGTCCAGGGGCGGCTGCACCAGGGGCGGCTGCTGCAGGGGCCAGGGGCGGCTGCTCTGGGTCCAGGGGCGGCTGCTCGAGGGTCCAGGGGCGGCTGCACCAGGGGCGGCTGCTTCAGTGGCCAGGGGCGGCTGCTCGGGGTCCAGGGGCGGCTGCTCCAGGGGCGGCTGCTGCAGGGGCCAGGGGCGGCTGCTCTGGGTCCAGGGGCGGCGCTCGAGGGTCCAGGGGCGGCTGCTCTGGGTTCAGGGGCGGCTGCTCTGGGTTCAGGGGCGGCTGCTCCAGGGGCGGCTGCTTCAGGGGCCAGGGGCGGCTGCTCTGGGTCCAGGGGCGGCTGCTGCAGGGGCCAGGGGCGGCTGCTCTGGGTCCAGGGGCGGCTGCTCGAGGGTCCAGGGGCGGCTGCACCAGGGGCGGCTGCTTCAGGGGCCAGGGGCGGCTGCTCTGGGTCCAGGGGCGGCTGCTCCAGGGGCGGCTGCTGCAGGGGCCAGGGGCGGCTGCTCCAGGTCCAGGGGCGGCTGCTCCAGGGGCCAGGGGCGGCTGCTCCAGGGGCGGCGTAGCTGGTGCAGGGCAGCGCGCGGGTCCCACAGGTGCCGTGACGGGCGACGGGGGGCAGCGCGTCGTCACGGGAGGAGGCGACGCGCGGGGCCGGCGGCAGGCTAAAACGAGGCCGGAAAACGGGCTACGCGGGCGGCGGACGCAGCGCGCAGGGCTTAAGCGGGCCGCGCTCGGGCGGCTTACGCGACGCGCGGGCCGGCGGCAGGCTGCGCGGGCGGCTGACGTGGCGCGCGGGGCCGAAAACAGGCTAAAAACGAGCCTAAACGGGCCGCGCGCGGGCTGTTTAAGTAGCGCGCGCGGGAAAAAAAGAGGCCGCGCGCGGGCAGCCGAGGCGCGCGCGGGCAGCAGGCAAGGCAGGCAAGGTAGGCAAGGTAACGTTGTAGTGGGTGGGCCCTTATCTTAGGTCCTAAAGACCTCTAGGCTCTAGATACCATCTTAGACTTAGAGGCATGAAGTTGTGTGATTTATTAGGTCAAGGGGGGGTACAAGAAGAATGTCGAGAGAAATGTTGTACCCCCTAGTGCTAACCCCCATATAGCCTAGACAACCTAAACATAACATATAAATATAACTTGACACTTTGGTCTGGAGTAAACAATATGCGTTCAAAGTTAATGGTGGTCGTGTTCCCTGACCCAATGATGTGACAACCTGGCATACTCGTTAAAAGCATGTAACAAGATGGATGGACTCCGAGGAGCTTGGCCTGAGCCATTCGAGCGAGTGCCACCACCACCCTTTGCTTGGCCAACAGATCCCTGTCCGATCGAAGGGGAACTTTTTGAAACTTTTCCGATTTAAAAAAAGTTCCGGTGGATTTGTTGCAATCATTACGCATGCTGCATGCCCATGTGCAATCTGTCATCCCAAATTCTAAAGTTACATCAAATCTATTTGAAGCTGCTTCCATCCAATCATCGTCCTGACTTAGTGCGTAAGGTCGCGGCGCTACCCAGGTGAGTTCAAAAGTTCGCTGCTGCAAATTGAGCTTTACGCCAACCATGACCCTCCACACGAATTGTTCTAGAAGCTACTAATGACCTGGCACTTTGCTGCGGTGGCAATTTGAGTGTACACCTTTAGTGAGCACGTGAGTCAGATAGAGAAACTAGATTGTCGGGCAGAATATTTACTGCACTTTTAACCATACTCAAGTGTTGTGGAGGGTTGAGGCTAAGTTAATGCAGAATCTAACATGCCAAACAGCTTGTTTTTAAACTCAAGAAAAACGTTCGCCGTGTAGATCCAACCATCATCAGTTGCAGGCTGTGGTGGAAGCTGTCATACACCCTTCGTCTTCCCCCAGTCACAGAATCCACCATCAGATCCAGCCAGGAGAACCAGCCGGGTCTGCCATGCCAACGTCATCCGCAAGAGTACACTGTACAATTGATGCCTGTTTGAGCCCCTCCCGGTTGCCTTGTGAAGGGGGCGTATAAGCTGTAACGAGCATGTCGCATAAGTTTCGTCAATTCGCAGCTAGCTAAAAAGGATTCGCAGGTGCTTATAAACAAGATCTGTTACCTTATTTGACTTCAGTCTCTTCTGCCTGACCTCGGTCTGTTCGTTACTATTGGTTGATAACCACGCGACGCGCTTATAACGTGGGAGCAACAGGCTGGGGAAACAACCTCGGGTGCAGCGTTTCCATCCGGCGCAAGGAAAATCCGCGTGCACTGGTTGGGCATCAATTGTACAGGAACAATTGCACCCAATCGGCCTTGCTTGCCCGTACAGTATGACCCGTTTTCTTTTTAGTTTTACAGCCAAGCCAGCATCGCAGACCGCGTGGCAACAGACAACATCCATTTCAACCTCCTAAGTGGAGCCGTGGTACATGAATCAACTACCATCCTCACCCAAACAAGCATAAGTGCAACCTTCGACTGGTGGCAAATGGAACTTACTGAAAAAGAAGGCGATAGAGAGGGCGAAGAGGAAAACAAACAGTTGGGATTATGCAGAGTCTTGCGTTGCGACGGTGCGCTGCCCAGTGCCCATATGTTTCCCAACCACGCCAACGAACGGCTGAGCTCCTTCCTCCTCCACATGGAGCGTCTCCTGCATGAGTTTCTTGCACTCACCCAGAAACCAAGAGCGAGTGAGGCCAACTAGCGATTTGCGTGCCCCCCCCCCCACGCTTCATCAACGTACGCTATCTGGCTGTTAGCTCAAGAGATTCGAAGCTAATACACGAGGGCGACCATCCTTATCCTAGCAAGACTGCGATATGGTTCGGTTAACAGACTCGAGCTATGATCTCCAGCAGACTCAGTGAAAGTGAACGAGAGCACTGTCGTGGCATAGTAGTGGCGGATGGTAGATTCTAAATCGAATCAGGAAAGCATGTTCGAGTAGTAAGGACGTTATATTCTCCAAATTCTCTGGTGGGGATATTTCTATAGTTTCGCATGCTACGGAAGCTTCTCAGCCTGCGTTGTACCAGATTTCGAAGTTACGATGCAGCGGTCGTGAGGTTTCTATTTCTGCAAGGAGGAACATTGCACCAGTCTTGAGGTTTCCCTCTCTTCAAGCAGTGGAGTTTGGAGCCGGGTCTGTTATCCCCTGAAATTCCGCCGTCGAATGAACTAAGGTCGAGGAGGATAGGTGATCTTACCAGCTACTTATCTGTCGTCCATACCTTTTTTACGCCAGTTCCGTTGGGTACCATTGGTAATTTGCTAAAAAAACGGCTATAGTATTAGGAAATAGCGGGAAATCGCTCTAGGCACAGTACTGGAAGAAATTGTAGAGTTAGCGAGGCGTTGCGTTGCGAGGGTCTTTCGGAGCAAGGAACAACAGCCACGAGCCGTAGCTGTAGAGGTCCTTCTGACTCGTTATCGAGAATCGACTTTTTTCCTGCTGCGCTTTTGCAGATGGAAGAAGACATACCTTCCGGTACACGCCGGCCGTTACCACTCCATCCGCCTCCCCCTTTCGCTGGCCTGATTCCTCCTCCCCGAGATCCCTCGTTCCCTCAGGTCGTCTCCGCCGGCCCGAGTGGTTTTTTTCCGCATCACATCCCCGTCAACGCAACTTCTGCCGCCTTGCACCCATCTCTTGTACCCGCGCACTCCGCAACCTTGCCTCTCGCGTCCACTCTCCCGGCCTTAGCTGGAGCCCCGTTCCCCGTACGCGCAGAACTCGCGGCGTTGGGCGCTGCGTCCACTCGCGGAATCAGCACAATTGGCGCGGGGGGGATGCTTTTTGGCGCGGGGGAGCCCAGCGGACAGGTGCCTGCGCCTTCGGGCTGGCAACCCGATCCCCAGACGGTTATGGCCATTGCAGCGGCCGCAGCGGCGGCGGCGGCAGCGGCAGCAGCTCAAGGACAGCGTGGAGCAGCGGCGGAAACTGCCGGGGGAGTGGCGCGACCGTCAAATTTCTTAACGGGGCTTGCGGGACTCGGTCCGGTCGCTGGGCTCGGCGCGCTGGGATTGACCGGCGGGTCTGGCGTCACGGCAATGTCTACTTTTCCGGGGATTATTCCTCGTGGCGCTGCGGGGGTAAGCTCGTCGTTAACACCCCATGACGCGTATAGGGGCTTCACGGGAGTTCATGAGCTCGATCCCGCCGTCAACCCATCCCTTCTCGCCTCTTTCGCGGCACCAAATTCCGCTACTGCCGGCCCCGCCGCTGCCGCTGCTGCCGCCGCCGCCGCGGCAGCCGCCGCCAGTGGTGGCGGGCATCTTCTTCCCGCGCTCTGGCGCCTCAATCCATCTGCGGCCGCGGCGGCAATGGCGGCTGCTGCGGCGGCAGCCGGTGCCGCGGGAGCGGGTGGTGGCAGGGCGGACGCCACAGGCGCAATTGGCGGCGCCGGCTTCGGCGGAGCTCCCCCTACTCCTGAGCATCTGTGGGCTTCGCGTGGCGGGCGGAACAGTGGCGGGGACGGACGGAGCGGGGAGGACAAGCGCACGGGAAGCGGCAGCGGCGGAGGTGGGCGGAGCGGGGAAGGCAGGCGCGCGGGAAGCGGCAGCGGCGGAGGCGGGGAAGGCGAGCACAGGAGGGATGAAGGCAGCGGGAGCGGCGGGCGCGGTGGTTTGGATTGCGCAGCGTCGAGAGCAGCTATCCGCGCGGTGGCGGCGATAAGCATCACTGACAGCGGAAGCAGGGTGGGCGTGGGCGGGGAGGGATTTGCGGGGGATAGCGGAGGCGCACGCGGAGGGGGAAGGGCAGCTGGGGATATTGCCCGTGGTGGGGGACGAACGGGCGGAGCAGCAGCGAGCAGTCAGAGCCCTAGTGTGACTGTATCGGAATCAGTGATTGGTGGTTACAGTAACGCTGGTGCTGGTGCGGGCGTTGCGGGCGATGCTGCCGCTGAAACAGCTGGCACTAGTGCCGCCGCTCGCTCCGCTATGATGCTCAACCATGGTCCTGCTCAAGCCTATAACGCGTACACATCGCAACCGCCAGTCGCGCATCGTCCCCCTCACCCTCCGCCTCCGCCTCCTCCGCCCGATCTTCGCCCTCCCTCCCGCCCATCCTTTCCCCCGGCACCTTCCGCGCGCCCCACCCTTCCCCCGAATTACCCCGCCCCCGCGCTATGCTCCCCGGGTCAGTTTTTCCTTCCGTCGGCCGCCAACCCTTTTGCTGTGGCGGCGGCAGCAATGGCGGCGGCGGCGGCGGCAGGGGGAGGGGGAGCGGGTGAAGGCGGGGCGGGTGCGGGGCTCAACCCCCTTCTGGGCGCGCTCTCGCTACCTCTATTCGCAAGCGCCGCCGCTCCGCTTGGAGCTGGTACAGGCGGAATGGGGGCGGCGGGGCTTGGAGCGCTGGGAGCGGGAGCGGGAGCGGGAACCGGCGGGGAGAATTCAGCAGCAGCTGCTGCGGCGGCAGCGTTTCGAGCAGCAACATTAGGAACAGGGCTGGGCGGAGGGCTGGGGGCAGGAGCGGTAGCGGGAGGAGGGGGATACGGAGGCACGACGGCAGCTGCAGCCGCAGCCTCCGCAGCAGCAGCATTAGCAGCCGCAGCGTTCGCCGTAGCGTCTGCTCCCTCCTCCACTGCTGCCGCCGCCGCTGCCGCGGCCGCCGCGGCAGCGGCAGCTGCGGCGGCAGCAGCAGCGTCAGCTTCGGAGGAACCTTCCTCGTCCATGGTTCCGGCTATTATGGGCCTTGGCGGAACGAGAATGGCGGCAGATGCGGGGTTTGCAGGGGTGGGTGGATTCGGAGGGGCTGCAGGCATGGGAGCGGCAGCGCTGGGAGCAGGGCTAGCAGGAGCTGCTGGGTTCCCTGCTCTCTTTGGCGTCCCTGGTTTGCATGCTTCTTTGCTTGGATCAGGCTATCCTGCTTCAGCCATGGCCCCTGCTACTGCGTCTAACCCTGCCATTGCCTCTGCTGCCGCTGCTGCTGCTGCTGCTTCCGCTGCTGCTGGTGGTCTGATGCTGCCTATTGTCCCTGGTGCCGTTGCTGCCTTCGGCTCTCCTCCTGCTGCTGCGGCGCCATCAGCAGCATCAGCAGCAGCATCAGCAGCAGCAGCCGCGGCGGCAGCAGCGGCGATGACAGCAGCAGCAGCAGCGACAGGAGTGCAGTCCAGCACCCCAGCAACCGTAATCACATCACTCTCGGAGAACCCGAGTGACCGCCCCTGGTGGTACAGGCAGGAAGGGTACAAGTGCGGCGTGTGCGGCGCGCATTTCACCTCCGCGCAAGCCCTGGGGGGGCACATGACCCGCCATACCACTCGCAAGCGACGCGTTTCCTCCGCCTCTACTGCTGCCGCTGGTTCTTCTGCTGCTGCTGGTGCTGCTGCTACTGGTGGTGCTGGTGATGCCTGTATGGAAAAGCTGGGAAAGGTTGCCGCTGGTGGTGCTGCTGGTGCTGCTGCTGCTGCTGCCGCTGCCGCTGCCGCTGCTGCTGCTGCTGCTGGCGCTGGCACTGGTGCTGCTGCTGGTGCATTCCCTGCTGCGCTACACAGGAAGGCAATGGGGGCGGAAGAAGAAAAGACGACGCAAGGAGATTTCACGGGCGATGATCGCAGGGGGCGTGTGAGGCGCAGGGCAATCCGGCCTGAAGCGAGCACCGGGGCAACCGCAGCAGCAGCAGGCCCCCCAGACGGTGGCTTTTCACCCTGGACGGCCCCTCACAGCCCCATTGGCATTGGCATCGGGAGCGTTGGCGCCGGCGCCGGCGCCGGTGGCGGCATTGGTGGTGGTGGTGGCGGTGTTGGTGTTGGGGGTGGTGGTGGCTCTGGGGGAGGCATGGGCTCAGGCTATGCCAGAGCAGCAATGGCAGGTGCGCCGGCGACGGCCCTCACGGCGTCGTCATTGTTATCAGGAGTAGCAGCAGCAACACCAGCATCTGGAGCGTCGGCAGCAGCCGCTGCCACCGCCGCCGCCATCGCAGCAGCAGCAGCGGCAGCTGCAACAGCAGCAGGAGCAGGGGCAGGGGCAACTTCAGCTGTAGGCCCGTCTGGCCTTCCCTGGGCTCATCCTCCTGCTGCCTCACCGCTCATCCCCGTTATCCACTCCGCTGCATCCCTCTACGCGCCTTACCACTCCCACAGTTACTCTCTTGCCGCATCCTCCCGCGCAGGGCCTATGAGCCCCCCCAGTGCAGCAGGCAGCAGGGCAGGCATAGGAATCACCGCCGCTGCTGCTGCCGCGGCCGCAGCTGCTGCCGCCGCTGCTGCTGGAGGCGGTGCTGCTGCGGATGCTGGTTCATTCGGCGTGGGTACGTCGCTGGGAAGCGCCGGCTCTGCGTTTGGATCGGGGAGAGGAGGAGGAGTGGGAGGAGGAGGAGTGCGTTCCGAGTCGTCTGGCTTTGCGTCGTCCACGCTCTCTCGCCACGCGCTCGTCGGCTCTGCTGGGTCGTCGCCGGCCTATGCCCTCACCACGCCTCCGGTAGTCAGTTCGGTGCTGGGAGGGGCCACGGAAATGAGCCGGATTGAGGCAGGCGGAACAGGCGGAATAGGTGCTGGTGGTGGTGGTGGTTCAGCCGCTGCCGCTGCTGCGGCTGCTGCTGCTGCGGCTGCGGCGGCTGCTGCTGGCAATGGTGCTTATGCTGCTGGAGTCGCTGATACTGCTCTCGCACGTTACCCGGTACACTCGCCGCTCTCCCACTTCCCCCGCCCTCCCTCGCTCCATCCCCCACATCCCAAGCCGCCTGCATTCGTCTTTTCCTCTGCTTCGCTCTCCAATGCCCCTGCAACCGCTCTTAAAGCCTGGAGACCCACTCAAATGGGCCTGGGCGACTGGGGGGGTAACGATCCCAGTCACGCAGACGAAACGGCTGCTAGAGCGGCTGCTGCCGCCGCCGCCGCTGCTGCCGCTGCCGCTGCTGCTGCTGCTGCTGGGACTGCAGGGGCTGCTGCGTCGGCGACTGCTGCTGCGGCCGCATGGGCTGCTGGTGTGGTTGGTGCGAGGGGCGGAAGGGGAGTGGAGGAGAGCGGGTGGCACGCTGAGGTGTCTGCGGCTGCTGCTGCAGCAGCGGCGGCGGTGCTGGCAGGGCAGGAAGCGGCAATGGAAGAGGAGCATCAGATGCAGAAGGGCGGACGGAAGAGAATGCGCGTTGATCTAGATCCAGACAGGGATGTGGAGATGGTCGGCGGGGAAAGGGGAGGAGGGGTGCAGGGAGGAGGGGAGGGAAGGGTGGAGGGAGGAGAGGAGTGGAAGCAGGGGCCATTCGGTGTGATGCAGGTCGAGGGGGATGCTGAGATGGTAGAAGCGAGGGAGAGATGGCGCGTTGGGGAAATGGAAAGGCATCGGGAGAAGGAAAGGGAGCGGGAGAGGGAGCGGGAGCGGGAGCGGGAGTGGGAGAGGGAGAGGGAGATGGAGAGGGAGAGGGAGAGGGAGATGGTGAGGAAAAGGGAGAAAGAGCGGGAGAGGGATGAGGGACGGGTGGGCGCACAGGAGCTGGCGTTCTTTGGACACGCGGGAACATGGGACGGTACTGGCCTCTGGAAACCATCCCCCTTGGGCCGCCAAACCACTCCAACACCCCCACCACCACCTCCTGTACCTGCATGGGCAGCAGCAGCAGCAGCAGCAGCAGCAGGAGCAGGGACAGCGGGGGCAGTGGCAGCAGCGCAAGGCGCAGGTCTAGTGGCCGGGATGGCAGGATCCGCTGCTGGATGGAACAGCGGAGGTATTAGAGGTGAATATGGGCCGGCAGGGTTATCTGGGGTAGGCGCGTCTGTGTCTGGGTCGGTTCCTAGGGATTGGGCTGCCACGCCATCAGGCCCCTTTGTTTTCGACGGCCCTTCTCCTCATCCCCATTGGTGGTCCCCGTATGCTGCTAGCACATCAGCAGCAGCGGCAGCAGCAGCAGCCACAGCAGCGGCAGCGACAGCGGCCGCAGCCGCAGCTACAGCAGCAGCAGCTGCCTCTGCCTTTGCTGTTCCAGCGCCTGTTGCCTTCCCTCCTCCGTTAGACGTTTTCTCCCTTGCTGCAGCTGCAGCTCCGCCCCCTCCTCCTCCTCCTCCTCCTCCCCCTCTCTCCTCCTCTGCAGCGTTCTTCCTTCCTAACATCGCCCATCAGTTTCCTCGCCCTGCCATTCCTGCCACACACTCCTCCAAACCTTCTGCCTCAGCCATGCCCGAGCAGGGCAGCCGTGGCAGTGGCAGCGGCGGCGGGGGGGCGCCTGGGGTAGTCGACGCAGCAAGCGCGCCGTGGCATCTTTTACACGCACACGCACACGCGCAGGCGCACGCACACGCCTCTGCTGCTCGGGAGAGTGGCAGTGCGGACGCAAGCGGCAGCGGCAGTGCGGGCCGCGGCGGGAGCGTTAGTCGCGGCGGCAGCGTCGCAAGGGGCAGCAGCAGCGCGGGACGAGGTAGCAGCGGCCGCAGCGGCAGCAACGGCGGGGGCGGCAGCGGCAGCAGTGGTGTAAAGCATTCCTTGCACTTCCCTGCCCACCTGTCGAGACCCCGGGTGTTGCCCTCCGGGTTCCTCCCGGGAAGCATGCTTGGTTCGGACTCCCCAGCTGCTGCTGCTGCGGCAGCTGCAGCAATGGCAGCTGCAGGGGTTGCGGGGGTGTCTCTGGATAGGCCGTTTGGAGGTGCAGCGGCTGTAGGAGAGGGCGTGTCGGAAGCTAGCAGCAGCAGCAGCAGCGGGCTCGGGAGCAAGGCGAGCAGGGGCAGCAGGAGCAGCAGGGGCAGCAGCCGGGGTAGCGGGGCGTCCAGTGGAGGGGGGAGAGGCAGTGGGAGCAGCGGGAAGGCGAGGGTGAAGGAGAGAGAGGGGGATAGAGGCGCGGGGGGAGGGTTTCTGGGAGCTCTGTCGAAGAAAAGGAGGGAGAGGATGATCCCGGAGATGGGCCTGGAAGATGCTGGGGCGAGTATGGCTGCTGGTGGGTATGCTGGTGCTTCTGGTGCTGCTGGTGCTTCTGGTGGTGGCAGCTTGACCAGTGTGGTGGCTGGTGCAGGAGCGGGGATGACAGGCCACGACGAGGCTACAATAGCACGAGGAGGAGGAGGGGGCGGAGGAGGAAGGGGGGACGGAAGAGGAGGAGGGGGGGATATGCTAGGTGGAGGGCGTCTGACAGCCGGTCCGCTGCCGGGTACCCCTCCTCCCACTGGCTTCTCGCTCTCTCTCTCCCTTGCCCTTCCAGAACCCACTCTTGCACCCAGACAACAACAGCAGCAGCAGCAGCAGCAGCAGGGCCGCACCGCCCTGCCTGCGGGCTTCTTGGGTGGGAGTCACAGCAGCGGCAGTGCTGCTGTTCCTGGAGCGAGTGGCGCCAGAACCGTTGATGCTGGTGCTGCTGCTGATGCTGGTGGCGCTGGTAATGCTGCTGGTGGTGCGGACCCGAGCTTGCACTTGTGGGGGTTTGGACGGGAGGCGACGGCTGCCACGGAGGCAGAGAGAGGAGGAGGGGATACGGGAGCAGCGGGTGCATGGATGCAGCAGGCAGAGGAGAGGACAGGTGAGATGCTGGCGGTGATGCCGCCGAGTCAGCATTGGGAGGGTGGTTTATGGTGATTACTTGAGAACTTTCCGAAGTGACTCAAAGGAGATGTCTCGAGAGTTAACAGTGGTTCATTTGGCGCATTGACCTTTCTTTGCTGCTGTTGCCCTCACTTGTGGCTGGTTGATTAGTTGGTTGGTTGGTTGGTTGGTTGGTTGGCAGGTTGGTCAGTCAGTTGGTTGTGTTTGTGTTGTGCTGTTGTGCGTCTCTGATAGGAACAGCTCTTCACATATTCTGCTCATCGTCCCCCCCGCCCCCCTCTCCACCGCGATTGCTGTCTCCCCTGTGGTTACCCTGTGGTTGTGCTGCAATTCTCAACCGTGCAGGGCAATACTAAACTCAATCCAGCCACCCGCGCTCCTGCCTCCTGCCTCCTGCCTCATGTGCCCCGGCTGCTGTTGCTGCTCCTGCGCCTGGTTCGCTAGTCCGGTCCGGGCCTAAGCCCTGTGCATCACGCGCAAACATGAGAGCGAGAGAGCGCGAGAGGGAGAGAAAGCGTGTGTCTGTGTGTGTGCCGCCTCGTCCCTATGCTCCTTGTAAGGATGCCAACTGTCTTTGCCTCTGCCATTGCCTTCAGATAGTGTACCAGAAACTTCTCCTTTAGTTTCCTTGTCACTATTCCCTAAGTAGTCTCTGACACGGTGCTTTTTCTTGCTTCTTCTCATGGGGTCTTTGCTCTCGTGCTGTGTGTGTCGTGCATGAGCTCTTTCATTACCTGTAGTGCCATAGTTATTCAATCGCCATATATTAAAATTTCTTCTTCCTTCCTCTCCCTCACTCCTTCACCAGTTGCTTCCTATCACCCGCTTCTTCCCTCTCCTGGCGGTTGTTTCCGCCCCCCCCCCCCATTATTCCACACCTTTCCGTTTCGTCCTCCCTCCTCACCTCCTCTCCCCTCCTCTCCCCTCCTCTCGTCCCGCCTCCCCCCTCCTTCTCCCTGCGTCTCCCTCTTGCCTCTGCCGTGGCACCTCTCTCGTGCCTTTTCCGTGCCTCTTCTCTCTCGCCTTTCAGGTTTTGAAAGTGCAATTTACTTTGCAGGGCAACCCCTGCCCTCTATTCCTCTCCCTCCGCACTTCACTGCAGGCAACAACACTTGCTGTGTGCACTCTGCTGCTCCTCCGCGGGGATACCACTTTCTTCCCGGCCCGACCGACCGTCTCCAACAATCGCCGCCAGAAGGCTCGCGTGGATCCCATTCGTCGCAACTCACATCACAACTCGCACCAGAGCTCATTCCCCAACTCGCTCCACACCTCACTCCTCCTCCTCCTCTTGCTCCTCCTATCCACCTCCGTCCTTCTCACGTCCCTCCTTATCCCCTGCCACATCTCCCTGCCACGGCTGCTTTCCAAACGGCTTCTGCGTCGCCTGCGTTGCAACTGCTGCTACCTCCCGCCATTCCCACCGCTCAAGGCTGTGTTGCCACCAGCGATGGTGCCATGGATTGGAATGCAGAACCGCCCTCTTTTCCAACCTCCTACCCTCCGTCCCTGCCTCCCTCCTTCCCCTCCTTTCCCTCCGTTCCCCCTTCCTATCTTCCCTCTTGTCCAACCTCGTGTCCTCCACCCGCCCCTCCCGCTTATCATCCCGCCTATCCTCCCTCCTATCTCTCCTCGTATCCTCTCTCTGTTTTGCCATCCGTTGCCACGGGTGCCATTGCCCACAGCAGCAACTACCCTGCTGGAGGTACCCTGGGGTGGGACACGAGTACAACTCTCCCTGTGTACGATCTTAACACACCACCACCACCAGCACCACGACCACCGATGTAACGAGGTGTGCAAGCTGAAAGCAACGGCGTCACCTCGTGTGCTGCAGCGGCCAACCATGGGGGGAGAGAGAGTCGTCATCAATAATCAGATCAGAGTCTTCATACAGAGTCTTACCGATGATGGAACGGCGGGATACCGTAACCATACCATCATAGGTAGGATAGCAGCAGCAGGGCCCTGCAGCAGCTGCCCTGCTAGTTGCCTTGCCTGCACAATGCCCAGTGCTTGGGAGCGTAGGGAGCTTCTCTTCTTTATTTTTTTTCTCATCAGGCGTGGTGGTGTTTAGTGTACCGGTACTGTAATTGGACTGACACGCCTGATGTTTTCTGGAGATCTCTTTTGAATGCTACTGTAAGTTCCCATGCTCTCACTTGGACAACAAACAGTATTTCGTAATAGGTTGGTGCCTGCATACGCCTCAGATAACAGATGTTTCTCAATTGTGTAAACCAGGGTTTAGCAATTCTTGCCGGAGAATTATGTATGTGTACACGTACGTATGTGTCAGTGGATCTATTTCCTTATGAACAATATTGATTTTCTGAACTATTTGTTTAAAAACAGTTAAAGAGTGCATTTCTCTCTATATCACAACACAATGCCCTCAATAAACAAGGGAGCACAGATAGAGACGGCTAAACCCTTTCTTGCTGAAAACCGTCACGCACTATGCAGGTGCCACATGTTGATTCACATGTTGTGCACTATGTAGATGTCCCCCTCTTCCTCCGGTAGTCCAAGGAAAGCTCACTGGACGGTGCAGTGCGGCAGGAAAAGTCCACCTTGGCAGTTCACTGCACGCGCCAAGGAGCAAGCAGCAAGCAGCAAGCAGCAAGCAGCATGCAGCATGCAGCAAGCAGCATGCAGCATGCAGCAAGCAGCAAGCAGCAAGCAGCAAGCAGCATGCAGCAAGCAGCAAGCATAAGGAGCCAATCATAAAGAACCAAGTATAAAGAGGCAAGTCGGTAGGTACGGTATGTTGTTTGTTTCTGAATGTGTCCAAGCTTTGACTCAACTTGAGGAGCAGACGTGGCAGAGTGGTGGTGAGGAGGTACCATCTCCATTTATTCTCAGTGCATACAGCAAACACATGCCAACACTAGAGCTAACACATTACACTACAGATAACACCTACCACCAACAAAGCAGCTGGTAACACATAACAAAACAGCAAACACATACTGAACCAACAAAACAGCATACACATACATACCGTACCAGCATAACAGCTACGGTAACACAATGCCCTGATTCAACGGGCAGGTGGAGCGATTGCAATGCTAGAAGGGTCATTCTTGCAGGTGCCGCTTCAACTCCATTTCCCTGAATCCTACAGCTCTTCCTCAATATCCGGAGAGGGATCGCTGGATGGTGCAACGCGGCAGGAGAAGTCCACCTTGGCAGTTCCACTGCAAGAAGCACATCACGCACCGAGCACCACACATTCAAGCATCAAGCGTCAAATTACAGCGCGAATGAGCAAAGGTGGTTATGTAGGGAACAGGCACATGAAAGGAAATGAGTGCATCACACTGCAAATGAACGGGAATGAGCACAGGCATGCGCAAGGTGTGCAAAGGGCAGGTGAGAGAGGCACGTGCGAAGAGAATGTGCGGGGCAAGTGCAGGGCATGTGCGCTCACAAGTTGTTGTCATGGAAGTTGAGGCGCGAGCTCCCCGTGGAGGAGAAGGCCCAGATGAGTTTAGACACTGCCGTCGAGGCAAACTTGGCAGCCACGCCCGTGCCCTTGATGCGCGAGAACCTGCCACGGAGGGAGGGGAGGGTGGGTAGTGTGTGCGTGTCCGGAGAAGACAGGAACAGAGATGAGCGACGAGCTTTGAGTCGAGTGTTCATCTTTTTACGGAGGTGCCCGTGCGTGCCCTTGATGCGGAACAACCTGCAGGGAAGGCGGGGCGGTGATTGCTTATATGGTACAAGAACAGAGATGAATAGTGAACAGGAACTAGCAGCAGCAGCAGCAGCAGCAGCAGCAGCAGCAGCAGCAGCAGCAGCAGCAGCAGCAGCAGCAGCAGCAGCAGCAGCAGCAGCAGCAGCAGCAGCAGCAGCAGCAGCAGCAGCAGCAGTGGCAGCAGCAGCAGCAGCAGCAGTGGCAGCAGCAGCAGCAGCAGCAGCAGCAGCAGCAGCAGCAGCAGCAGCAGCAGTGGCAGCAGCAGCAGCAGCAGCAGTGGCAGCAGCAGCAGCAGCAGCAGTGGCAGCAGTGGCAGCAGTGGCAGCAGCAGCGGCAGCAGCAGCGGCAGCAGCTGACCTGATAATGGTGGAGCTATCAGCTGTCTTGGTGGTGGACGCGTTTTCAATCTTGATCGCTGTGGTGGGAACCAGCTTAGAGGAGCGGTACCCCTTGAGTGCATACGTTGCCACGCGGCCCCCAGGCAGGTTCCCAATGACAGCGTCGGCTGGCACCATGGCTGCCTTGGTAGGCCACCCCACGGATATCCACCCAGCCTTGGCCTTCCCTGCTGCCTTGGCTTCAATTGCTATGTCAACTTGCTTAGGGGATACGGGGTCCCAGTGGAGAATGAGGCTGGGGAACGGGAGGAGAGGGGGAGGTGGGAGAGGGAGAGGACGAGGAAGAGGTTAGACGAATTTCGAGGTGGCTCAAGAAATGTCTCACTTCCGGTGGAGCAGGAGGGTGGGGAAAGGGAGGGTGAGCAGTAGGTAGCAGAACGGCTTGGGCAATGGCAGAATGGCAGTGGCAGAATGGCATGGGCAGAAGTGTAACAGCAGGGACTCACTTGGGCGGCAGCAGGGCGAGCTGGTAGGAGTATCCAGGCAGGGTGGAAGCGGGGCAGGCCTTACCCGTGGCGAATGCAGACGGGGGCGGAGGTGATGGGGAAGGAGGAGGGGGGGAGGCGGTGAGAGGGGGAGGGGAGGCGGTGAGAGGAGGGGGGGAGGCGGTGAGAGGAGGGGGGAGGCGGTGAGGGAGGAGGGGAGGCGGTGAGAGGGGGAGGGGAGGCGGTGAGAGGGGGAGGGGAGGCGGTGAGAGGGGGAGGGGAGGCGGTGAGAGGGGAAGGGGAGGCGGTGAGAGGGGGAGGGGAGGCGGTGAGAGGGGGAGGGGAGGCGGTGAGAGGGGGAGGGGAGGCGGTGAGAGGGGGAGGGGAGGCGGTGAGAGGGGGAGGGGAGGCGGTGAGAGGGGGAGGGGAGGCGGTGAGAGGGGGAGGGGAGGCGGTGAGAGGGGGAGGGGAGGCGGTGAGAGGGGGAGGGGAGGCGGTGAGAGGGGGAGGGGAGGCGGTGAGAGGGGGAGGGGAGGCGGTGAGAGGGGGAGGGGAGGCGGTGAGAGGGGGAGGGGAGGCGGTTAGAGGGGGAGGGGAGGCGGTGAGAGGAGGAGGGGAGGAGACAGGAGGGGGAGAGACGCTGGTGGTTGGTACAGACCCCCCAGTGGGGGGAGAGGGAGGGGGAGGAGAGGGAGGAGAGGGAGGCGGAGAGGGAGGAGGGGGAGAGGGAGGGGGAGAGGGAGGGGGGGGAGAGGGAGGCGGAGAGGGAGGGGGGGGAGAGGGAGGGGGAGAGGGAGGGGGGGGGGGAGGGAGGGGGAGAGGGAGGGGGGGGGGAGGGAGGGGGAGAGGGAGGGGGGGGGGAGGGAGGGGGAGAGGGAGGGGGGGGAGAGGGAAGCGGAGAGGGAGCGGGAGCAGCGAGAGGCGGAGAGGAAGGAGGGGGAGAGGGAGGGGGGGGAGATGGAGGCGGAGAGGGGGGAGGGGGAGAGGGCGGGGGCGGAGGTGAGGGCGGGGGCGGAGGTGAAGGCGGGGGTGGGGGCCTAGGAGGCGGAGGAGGAGAAGGAGGGCGCGGGGGAGAAGGAGGCGGCGGAGGTGATGGGGTGCCGTTGCAGGAGAAGTCGGCGGTGACGGCTCCCCTGGTGAAGAGAGAGGGAGAGAGAGGGTGGACACAGGCGTGGGGAAAGAAGGAGGCGAGGCAAGGGGTCGACACATGAGGAAAGGGGAGAAGGTACACACCTTGGACGAGAGAGCGAGAGAGAAAGAGAGAGGAAGAGAGAGCGAGAGAGAGCTAGAGAGAGCTGGAGATAGCGAGAGAGAGAGCGAGAGGGCGAGAGAGAGCGAGAGAGAGCAAGAGAGAGCGAGAGAGAGCGAGACAGAGCAAGAGAGAGCGAGAGAGCGCGAGAGAGCGCAAGAGCGAGAAAGCGAGAGAGCGAGAGAGCAAGAGAGGAGCACACGCACTTCGAAGCGTGGCTGCCAACGGTGGTGGAGCTGCCGCTGTAGGCCCAGATGATGTTGTTCACGCCCCTGACGAGCACGGGCGCCGCGCCACCATCCCCGGTAGTCCGTGTGAACGACATGGTGACCGTGGTCCCGGAGGTGGTGTAGGCCTTGCTGCCGATGGTGAAGGCCGTGGTGAGCTTCACAGAGGAGTAGCTGGAGGCGTTGTACGTGTCCACGGGCACGGGCGAGCCCGCCTGGTTGCCGAGGACGCAGTCAGCGGGGTACATCTTGAGCGCTTTCCCGAAGCCCATGCCGAACCAGCCGGTGATGGCGCTGCCTGACGCGGTGACTGCGAGCTGGATGGTGGTCCCGGTGGTGACCTGCCAGTGGAGCTTCATGCTGCCATGGGGTCATGGGGAAAAGGGGAATGGGATGGGATGGGGGAGCAAGTCAGCACGGACGAGGCGAGGGACGAAAAGGGACGAGGAGAGGGATGAGGCGAGGGAGAGAGTGGAGGGATGATGCGTGGCGTGGGGTGCGTACTTTGATCCGAGGGAGACCGAGGACGTGTAGCCCGACGCTGAGAGCGACGACGCAGAGCACACCGCCAGAGGCGCAACCACCAGCGACAACGCCGCGCGCCTGCTGCTGCGACCCTTGAGACCGTCGCGGGGCCGACCGGCGGCGACGTCAGTGGCCGTAGTAGTACCGCCGACGCCAATGCTGGTCCCATTGCGTTCGCCACCGTGACGATGGCCATGTCGACCCGGAGAGTCCTGCTGAGGCCGCGACGAGCCAGCAGTTTCGCCACGCTGGTGGTTACCACCATCGCCATGCTGACGGCCTCTGACCCTGGAAGTCAGAGAGGAGACGGCGCGCAAGATGCTGCAGAAGCGGTAGCCGAAGCGCTGGCAGTCTTCCGGCAAAGGCGGCAGGCGCGGGTCCGCCATGGTGGTTGTGGTCGCCGCGGCGGTGAAGGCGAGCAGCAGCAGGAGTAGCGGCACCGTGTGCAGGCGCCGAGGCTGCGGAGTCGGAGTCGCGGCTCCTGAGAGAGGCAAGGCACGCTGTAGCGCCATCTTTGAAGTCACCGTTGGCATGCACGGCTGTGCCCTGCTGCTTCTGGTGCCAATGCTGCTGCGGCTGCTGCTGGTAATGCCCTGCTAGAGGGAGTATCTGCCAGTGGGCAAGCCCTTGCAACAAGTTGATGATGGAGAGAGAGAGGAAGAAGTGAAGCTTTATCTCCAAGGGTTTGCGCGTAGCGCAAGACTTGGTGGCTCGCGTCGCGGCTTCGAACAGTCAAGTTGGCTGAAGGTGGCTCGCGACTTGGCTCGGTGGTGGCCAATCCGAGCCCCAACATGTTACTGGCCCGGGGCATGTTACTGGACCATCGCGCCGCGGCGGCGGCCAGGAATCCTCGGAAGGTTCGTCCAAAAGGTGAAAGCGTGATCCGCTCATCCGACGTGTCGCGAGGTTGTGGTGGCATGAGGACCTAACCCTGTCCGATCTGTCAATCGATGTCCTCATTGTGTTTATTTGTTTATCTTATCTGCCGTCGTAGCTGTCGCTTCCTACACCGTCCGATCTGTAGTCCAACGCGATCTCGCCTCACAGTGTGATAAGGTCTGTAAGCCTGAACCGCGTCGCTTCGAGCCCTCGGCAAAGCCAGCTGTCCGCCGCCAGCCTGGTCGTGATTCGTGAACACGTGGAACTTGCGAACAATACCAGTGATGTCGCTTTCACAGTGCACACTTGCGGTGTCGAAAGTGCTCCGTTGCTGCGCGTCGTCACTCGCTTCTGGCTGTCTGACATGTCGTTACTGCTACAGCAGATCGGATAAATAACGACGAGGGAACCTATTGCGGGCGGCTTTCCACGAAAGCATGAAACGCTTTCCACACGCTGCAGACGTGTGCGCCAAATGGAAGCCCAACCACGAGCTTACGTGTAACGAGAACACGACTTTCCCACGCATTCTAGGGGAACCGTGCGAGGCCGGCACGACTCTACGACGCATCGCAGTAGCGAGGACATATCAATCACTGCCAGCTGCCAGCTTAGGGTTTACAGTCACCACCGAGCAGTGAGATGGACATTGTGTGGTGAGGGAGGGGGGATTTGAGGCTCCGGCCCGGTCAGACCTCGGGAGGAAATGAAAATCCAAAGAGGAGGCTCCGAACTTCCAAAGCGTGTTCGCGAACCCGGAGGCAGCCCAGAAAAACCCAGCTGGTACGTCTCCTGTACGTTTTTCGCCGGTAAAAATGGTAAACCTTTGGGAATCATTGACCAGGGCCTGAGGGTGCAACCATCAAAATGCTCCCTCTGGGCCCCTTTGGACCTCCCTTCGGACCTCACACCTCCATCAGACATCATCATTGCCCCTAACGGTCTCACGGTTGCAGGAGTGCCTATCGGATCGGACACCCACATTATCTCCACAGTTCGAGACAAACTGCACTCTTTCTCTTCATCACTGCCTCTCCTGCATGACCTTCATGATCCACAGACTGCCTCTCGCCTCCTTACTCTCTGCATTTCCGCCCGTCCCTCATTCCTCCTCCGCACAGTTGCACCATTTCCCGAGGTAGAAGAGCTTTACACTGACTGGGACAACACCTTGCTGGACCACTTTGTTCGCCTCATCGGCTCTGACTACTGGCCTCCTGCGTTTGACCACACTGCCACAGCACACCGACAGCCATTCCTTCACATTCGCCTTGGTGGGTTCGGCCTCCGTTTTTCAGCTGCAACTGCTTCTCTCAGTTACCTGTGCAGCTGGGCACAGACAGTTTCACTCCTCTCGTCATGCTTCACCATTCATGGCTCCCCTATTTTCCGTCCCTTCATCGCTTCAGACACCATGGACCGCCTTGACCCATGCATTCCCACAGCCATGTCCAAACTTCATCCTACCATTCGGCAGCACTTCCCTACCTGGCCCGCACTTCACGCTGGCTATCCACATAAGCTATATTCCTACCTTTCACAGCACTTGGAGGCTGTCATGCTCGAGCGCGTGCGATCCACAGTAACCTCTCCCCAACATTTGGCCCGTTTAACCTCCCTACAAGGGCCCCATGCTGGCGATTGGCTTACTGTGGCTCCATGTTCTTCGCATATGCAGCTGTCACCTACGGAGTGGTGTATTGCAGCCGCTATTCGTCTTGGCCTCCCCATTCCACACCTCACGACCACCCGCACATGCACTTGTGGCTCGGCATTCACAGACCCTTCAGTCGTCTCTCACGTCCTCCGCTGCCCATCCTCTAACGAGCCTACCAGGGTCCACGACGCCATCAAGCTTGAGGTTCATCGCATCACGTCCGAGCTTGGTTACGTCGTACAGCTGGAGGACTCCCACCTTCTTTCAGGACGTCGCCCAGACATCAGCTGCCGTGATATCAGCTCTGGGACTACGTGGGCATTAGATGTTTCAGTTGCAGACCCGCAGCATGGTCCCCCAAACTCCAAGACTGCATCAGTAATCGGCTCAGCTGCATCTGCTCGCGAAACTGAGAAGCGGACCCTGTATGCATCTTCCTTACAAAACCGCCCAGACGTGAAGCTTCTTCCTCTCGTTCTTGAAACCTTCGGTTGCTTCAGCACGGCATTTCTCAGCTTCATCAAAGACTGCAGCAGACGAGGGTCGACTCGACTTCGTGACATGGGTGGTGCATCTGACCTGATTCCAGAGCTCTTCGAGACTAGCTACTTCAAGAGGATTTCCTTGGTGCACCAGCGTGAGCAGGCTCGAACCATCTGCCGTCGGACACAAATTCGTTACAGTGTTGACACACCCTCCGCCCCACCAGATCCCACCCCACCCTCCTTGGCTGACTTTGCGTACCTTGGTGTTGGTTCTTGAGACCTCATTGGGGGTCTCAACCTAGGATTGCAGTTGGGCCATTGCTAGTTAGGTAGCCTCCTGATGCTCAAATCCGTCTGTATCTTTTGTACACATATACATTGTAAATAAAGCGGTCAATGTAGCACTAAACCACTCTCTCCTCTGGAGAAGGAGGCTCGGTAGTCCTGAAGTACCGCCGAACCGAAGTTGCAAATGGGTGTTTGTCGGGCCGTCAGTCGGAACGGAAAGTGGGGCAGAGGTCTGACTGGGCCGGAGCCTACCCCACTCGGGGGGGGGGGGGGGGGGGGACTGCGCCTGTATGGTTGGTGTGCGTACGTGCGCTTGTCCCACCTACGCCCAAAAAACACTTCTGCATGGGGAAGAAGATTTCGAGGCTGACTACACCCTGATTCGCGCTATAAAAGATTCTGGTATACTCAACCATATGTTCCAACGCGCCCAAGAACGCACTACAATCACAGTTCGCTTTAATGCGGCCCTACTAGTGGTCTATGTAAAGTTTGGAATGGTTTGGTAGGGTATGGAGACGGTTAGTGTCACATCTACTAATACGTCCAAGGAATAGTACAATTTAGTAGCGCAAAACAAGGTGTATATCTGGTACTTATAAAAAAAGGAACGTGTGGGGATGATCTGGCCAAAATGATTCCAGCATACACCTACTACCATGTTATCATTTTTGCTTCATATGGTACACAGAACAGAACATCACGGCGCTTGTTTGCAGAATAACCGGGGGGGGTTGAATGAGCCGCCACAAGCACCAGCTTCAGCCTTGAGTTGACGCACTGCTGCAGATGCGGCAGTTACTGGCCCTTTCGACACACCCCCTCCTCTCCCTCCAACACCAGCCACCACACTCCCCTCATGCCGCACACCTTGCTGCCTAACTCCATCCCGCTGCCTCACTCTGTCCATCCCACACTGCCCCACGCCGCCCCTCCTTTCTCTCCCTGCTCCCACCTATCCCTCCACCAGGACCCAGTCCTGAAGCAGCACCAGCAGCACCAGGAGTACAGGAAGCATCTCCTGCGTTTTGCTCGTTCCAGCTCCCAGGCCAAGCGCTCACGAGCCCTGTTCTCTGTGCCTGGCCTGATGCGCCCTGACCAAACCGGCTAGTGGTGCAATAGCTACTATGCTAGAAGGACAAATCTCGCTAAAAAATGTAAACGGCACAGCTCTCCGTGTTTCCGAATCCTAGAATGCATCGTCCTCTATATCCGGGGAGGGAACACTGGATGGTGCAGTGCGGCAGGAGAAGTCCACCTTGGCAGTTCCACTGCAAGACGCATCAAGCACCACGCACCACGCACCAAGCACCAAGCGTTGAAGCATCACGCGTCAAGATGCAGCACGGATCAGCCCAGGAGGTGATGGGAGAAGAGAAGGCATGGACTCCATTCCATTGCAAATAAAAGGGAATGTGCACGGGCATGTGTGCGCGAGGTGTGCAAAGAGCAGGTGCGGAGCAGGTGCGGGGCAGGTGAGGGGCATGTGCCGGGCAGGCACGGGGCGTGCGCGAGCGCTCACAAGTTGTTGTCATGGAAGTTGAGGCGCGTGTTCCCGGTGCAGGAGAAAGCCCAGATGAGCTTCGACACAGACGACAGGGCAAACTTGGCGGCGACTCCCGTGCCCTTGATGCGCGAGAACCTGCCACGGAGGGGAGGGGAGGCCGGGTAGAGTGTGCATGTCCCGAGAAGACAGGAACAGAGATGAGCTTTGAACGGGTATTAGCAGCAGGACCATCAGCCATAGCACGACCAGCAGCAGCAGCAGCGGTGGCGGCAGCTCACTCACCTGACAATAGTGGAGTTATCAGCAGTCCTGGTAGTGGATGCATTCTCAATCTTAAACGCCGTGGAGGGAAACAGCTTGGCAGACCGGTACCCCTTGAGCGCATATGCCGCCACACGACCCCCAGGCAGGTTCCCGATGACAGCATCGGCTGGCACCATGGCTCCCTTCGGAGACCACCCCACGGATATCCATCCAGCATTGGCCTTCCCTGCTGCCTTGGCTTCAATTGCGAGGTCGACTTGCTTGGAGGATACGGGGTTCCAGTGAAGGATGAGGCTGGGGAAAATGGAAGGAGACGGGAGGATAGGAGGGAGAGAGAGAGAGAGAGAGAGAGAGAGAGAGAGAGAGAGAGAGAGAGAGAGAGAGAGAGAGAGAGAGAGAGAGGTTAGAGGGAGGGCGATAGTGGTAGGTAGGCGTGAGTACCGGTCAGGAGCAAGATGGACAGAGGCAGAATGGCGGCATGAGCAGAGGTGTAACAGCAGGGACTCACTTGGGCGGCAGCAGGGCGAGCTGGTAGGCGTATCCGGGGAGGGTGGATGCGGGGCAGGCTTTACCCGAGGCGAATGGAGACGGGGGCGGAGGCGACGGGGAAGGAGGGGGGGGAGAGGCGGTGAGAGGAGGGGGGGAGGCGGTGAGAGGAGGGGGGGAGGCGGTGAGAGGAGGGGGGGAGGCGGTGAGAGGAGGGGGGGAGGCGGTGAGAGGAGGGGGGGAGGCGGTGAGAGGAGGGGGGGAGGAGACAGGAGGGGGCGGGGAGGAGACAGGAGGGGGCGGGGAGGAGACAGGAGGGGGCGGGGAGGAGACAGGAGGGGGAGGAGAGGAGTCAGGAGGGGGAGGAGAGGAGTCAGGAGGGGGAGGAGAGGAGACAGGAGGGGGAGAGACGCTGGTGGTTGGTACAGATCCGCCAGTGGGGGAAGAGGGCGGGGGAGAGGGAGGAGGGGGAGAGGGAGGGGGAGAGGGAGGAGGGGGAGAGGGAGGGGGAGAGGGAGGAGGAGGAGAGGGAGGCGGAGAGGGAGGGGGAGGAGAGGGAGGCGGAGAGGGAGGAGGGAGAGAGGGAGGGGGAGAGGGAGGAGGGGGAGAGGGAGGCGGAGAGGGAGGGGGGGGAGAGGGAGGAGGAGAGGGGGGAGGGGGAGAGGGAGGCGGAGAGGGGGGAGGGGGAGAGGGAGGCGGAGAGGGGGGAGGGGGAGAGGGAGGTGGTGAAGGCGGCGGGGGAGAAAGAGATGGCGGAGGTGAAGCAGGCGGAGGGGGAGAAAGAGATGGCGGAGGTGAAGCAGGCGGAGGGGGAGAAAGAGATGGCGGAGGGGGAGAAAGAGATGGCGGAGGTGAAGCAGGCGGAGGGGGAGATAGAGATGGCGGAGGTGAAGCAGGCGGAGGGGGAGAAAGAGATGGCGGAGGTGAAGCGGGTGGCGGAGGTGGGGGGGAGCCATTGCAGGAGAAGTCGGCGGTGGTGGTTCCCCTGAGAGAGAGAGGGTGGACACGGGGGTGGGAATGAAGGACGTGAGGCAAGAGGTAGATACATGAGGAAAGGGGAGGAGTAAGCTAAACACCATAGAGGGAATGTTAACGTAACCATCAATTCTATAGAAGGGAACAATCATGACACTAGTACGAATCCCCTCATTGAACACACGACATCATGCATGTATGATGGATAAGGGAAAAAAGAAGGGAGGTGCTGAAAATTTCGGTGTTTCGCTCGAGAGAGCGAGAGAGAGAGGATTAGCCTCTCCCCTTCTACCCTCTGCCCTCTGTTTCCAGCCTTCTGCCATGAGTACTTAAGGCCACGGTGGCCTCTTCATCTCTCATTCTTTCAGTTGGTGCTGAAAATTTCGGTGTTTCGCTCGAGGAGAGCGAGAGAGAGAGGATTAGCCTCTCCCCTTCTACCCTCTGCCCTCTGTTTCCAGCCTTCTGCCATGAGTACTTAAGGCCACGGTGGCCTCTTCATCTCTCATTCTTTCAGTTGGTGCTGAAAATTTCGGTGTTTCGCTCGAGAGAGCGAGAGAGAGAGGATTAGCCTCTCCCCTTCTACCCTCTGCCCTCTGTTTCCAGCCTTCTGCCATGAGTACTTAAGGCCACGGTGGCCTCTTCATCTCTCATTCTTTCAGTTGGTGCTGAAAATTTCGGCGCTTCGCGCCGGCGCTCGCGTGCGCGGCCTCCGGCCGCGCGTTAGGGAACGACAAGAAGACAATAAGGATGATGGTCAACATGACAACATCAGCAAGAACAACAAGCAAGGACTACTAGGCAACAAACAATGGAGCGGGTCTACACACGCGCAAAGGGGGCTCCTACATGCGGTCGGCCACAAGCTCACCAAGCGTTTCGCGCGAGGTCAGCCACATCTGGTGGACCACTGACGCGATGGCGCCAACAACGTCAACTGGAGTTCCACGCGTTGCAACAAGCGTCCTCAGATCCAGGACCTTCACAGCCAACTGGTTGGCCGAGGCTACAACCGCGGAGGGCGCAACCGGCAGTGATGCGACATACGAGAATAGTGTTGACGCCGCCGCGTGACACTTTGCTCGCGGCCTCTGAGAGAATGTGCTCGGCGGGTTCACCGACATGGAGTCAAGGGACTCCACAAGGAGCATGGAGTCATGGGACTCCAGAAGGATCAACCCAAGACTCTGCAGGCACTCCGCCAGCGACCACAGGCGTGCTAGGGTCGCCGTGGGCACTTCCTTCATCGGCGGAGGAAGGGTGGACGACCGAGCTCGGCGGACAGACACGGCTAGATCGCGAGGAGCAGGGAGAGGATGTGGCGGAGCGAACGGGGCCCACGGATCCCTGCCAGCAGCACCAACAAATCCACCTCCCGCAGGCAGCGGCCGATCTGAGCGCGCCGGGGAACCAACGGGGTTGTGCGGCAGAAGAGCAGCAAGAGGAGCGACGCGACCAGAGTGCGGAATGGACCGCGACGACGATGCAGCATTCGAACGGTGGAGAGCTTTCTCCACGCCGTCAAGCTTTTCCAACACACGCTCCATCTCGGACGGTACGGGACGCGCCGCACCACCGCGTCCATATCCGCCTCGACGCCCACGATAACCTCGACCGCTTGCGTTCGAGCGCGCGGGCGACTGGGGGCGGGATGAGGCATGCTGACGGCGGCGTTCAGGGGATCGGCCCTTGCGACGAGGAGAGTCGAGCCGTTGGCGCTTTGCCGGACGAGGCGAACGAGGAGGCGAACGGGGGCGAGTGGAATGGTGAGCTGGCGATCGGTGGCGAGAGGGAGGACGAGCGGGCGAACGATGACGGCGGGATCGGTGGTCACGAGACTGGCTACGAGACACGATGCGACGAGGAGATCGCGACGAACGATGCAGGCGCGGAGATCGTGACGATCGCGGCTCAAGGTGACGACCGCCACGGCGGCTCCCCTGCCCGTCGTCGCGCGCCTCAGACGAACGACGGCGAGGCGATCGTGCCCGGGGCGCCGCAGCCTCTACGCCGGAGCGCACGACGGACGCCTGGCGGGCAGGCTCCTTCTGCGGCAGGGAATTTCCGCCACGTGGAGTCAGATCGCGCCGCAGATCCTCGAAGCGACGGCGTATCTGATCAGCAGATGCCAGCGGAGCAACGGGCACGCTCGCAGCGGGACGCGCGGGGGGGAGCGGACGGGGAGCAGAACCGCTCTCCGCGATGCGCTCCCGACCATGGCCGCCATCAGCAGACATTGGAGCGCGGGGAGGATGTCGCTCGCTCAGCAGGCGGTCGACGTGGCGGACGGGGAGCAGCGGGACGCGGACGACGGGCTAGCGGAGGAGGACCTGAGAATGTGTATCAACAATCGGGACGGAGGGCTTTAAACGAGCTGGAAGATGATAATGAGGAGACATCATCAGGCAGCAGCTTTGTACCTGCGGAATCCACAGACTCGACTTCTAGCTCTGAGTCTGTGGATGAACCCCAAACCCAGACTCCTGCTAGAGCAACCAGAGCAGCCCCAACTCACAGGGCGGGAGGATCCTCAGTTGCGAGATCCACACGGAGGGGACCCCCAACACCAACCCGAGCCGCATCGGGCAACATTGCAAACCCCCCACCCCCACCACCAATTTCCCACACTCCAACCCATTCCCGAGCCGCCCCACAATCTGCACCTGGCGGTAACCCCATCCCAACCCACGCGCGAGAGGAAAAATCCCCAGAAACACTCGCCAAGGACGACGTGCTATTCGCTGGGGTTGGAACATGGGACCTGACGAAATTGCGCGACAGTCGCCACGCACCACTCTCCCGCCACCTCCCACCCGACCCTCGCAAACTTTTCGCCACCGCCTTGCTGGTACCTCTGCTGCGGTTGGCGAACGATCCAGACTCACACTCTGCTTGGGTCGTCCTCTTGTTCCTCGCACGACTCACACTTCGCCAGCTGTCACCCAGGCGTCCAGATTGGAAGGCAGTCAGCGCACGACTTAGCAAATTCATGTGTGGGGACTGGGATGAGCTGTACAAGGACACCGTGGACTCACTGACCTGTCCCCAGCCACCCAGACACCAGCCGGATGACATTGGGGTCATCGCGAGAGCTGAGGGGCTAGCTCGACGTGGCAGCCTGCGACGGGCCGTCATGGCCTTAGAGGCCACGCCAGTTTGCACGCCATCGCCGGCTGTGCTGGAGGCACTACGCGCCAAGCACCCACCTGCGCCCGCCTCCCCACCTGACTGGATATTTCCCACACCAGACCCTCACCTCTCGGCGCCTTACGAGGTCTTCTCCAAGGTTTTGGGTCGGTGTGAGATGGGAGTAGGAGCTGGGCCATCAGGAACAACATTCGAACACCTGCGGGACGCATCTCTGATCAACGCTTCAGTGGGGAAGCACCTGCATGCGCTAGTCAACACCATACTCACTGGAAAATTACCTCTCGCAATAGCCGAACTCCTCACCGCCTCTCGCCTGATTGCCCTTACCAAACCAGGAGGGGGGACGAGGCCGATAGCCATCGGCGAAAGCATCACTCGCCTCGCTGCCAAAACAGCTCTTACCTTGACGGCGGGCGCCGCTCGAGATTTCTTCTTACCTCATCAATTCGGTGTAGCGGTTCCAGGGGGAGCAGAGGCGATCATCCACATCACGCGAACCTTTCTTACCGTCAACCCTGGAGCGCTCGTTCTGCAGGCCGACCTGGCGAACGCATTCAATAGTGTTAACCGAGGGGCCATCGCGGAGTCGCTTCGAGGTTCGACGCTAGCTCCGCTACTGCCACTCGTGAAACTGTCATATGGCCACCCCTCTTCCCTATGCCTGAATGCCGGATTCTCGCACCCACCACTCTTGAGCGAAACCGGGGTGAGGCAGGGAGATCCCCTCGGCCCCTTGCTGTTTGCTGCCGCCATTCACCCCGCGTTGACAAGCACGGCACTTACCTTCCCGTCCGTGGTATGCCTGGCATACGCGGACGACGTCACTTTTCTTGGAGAAGCAACGGCTTGTGCGGCGGCGTTTGGGCACTTCACAGGAAGCCTTGGGGAGATTGGGCTACAACACAACCCCGCTAAGTGTGCGGCATGGTCACAGGCAGGCCGTCAGTCAACACCACTGCCGCAGGGCGTACCTTTCATTGATGACGGCGTGAAGGTGCTGGGCAGCTTCGTCGGCGGAAACGACGCAACTGCAGCGTTCCTACGCGACAGCCTTAACACAATGGGAGCCCCACTTCGCCTAATCGCGAGAATGGAGCCACAGCTGGCGTCTCTCCTGCTTACCAGATGCATCTCGCGGCGAGTCTCCTATGTCGCGCACACCACTCCGCTCTCTCCCTTGCCAGTGGAGGAATGGTCGGACTGGGGCAAGGGATTGTTTGACACACTGTTGACGGCTTGCAGCATTCGACATCCACGGGGGGAGGCTGAGATAGCTCGGACCTGGGCCCAAGCCTCACTCCCGATCTCACTTGGAGGCTTGGGTCTGACGGACCCGTCGGTGGAGGGTCGCGTAGGGTTCTTGGCGAGCTACACGCAGGCGCAGCATTTGCTCACCTCCATTGACGAGGCGGCGGTCGGCGCCTTGGCAGAAACACGGATCCAGATGGCGGGACCCTACCTCAACACGTCCCCGCTGTTTGACTGGTTGGAGAGGTGCGAGGAGATGTTGCCGGAGGACGGGAAGGAGCTGCTGCAGAGCGACCGCGCCGAACCCAAAGGCATCAAGCTGCAGCACGGGCTGGCAATCGCGGTCCACGGACGCCGCTACGCCGAGCAGGTCCAAACCACACGCGACATGCCGCTCAACCCCCTTAGCGGGCACACGCAACGTATGCTCTCCCTCTCGGGGTATGGGGCAGGGGACTGGCTCAACGCGGTCCCCTTTAACAAGTCGCTGCGCCTGGCTCCAGATCACTTCGCCCACGCACTGCAGTTCCGAATGGGGCTCCCCTCCTCTGCACCTGGGGCTTGTGACTGCCGCAACAACACGGCAATCACAGACCGACGGCTGCCCAACCACCTTCTGCGCTGTGACACAGGGAAGGGGAGGACCAACACCCATAATGAGCTGCGGGATGAGTGCCTCCGGATGGCCAACGACGCGGACTTCATGACTCATGGAGAGACAACCGCATTCTGCCCCGTCACTAGGAAGAAGGCGGACATAGCAATCAGGGACAAGTCCTCGGGGGCGGTTTGGATTGAGGACGTGACAATCACGGACCCCATCAGCACCCGTGACCCCAACGCAGTCAAGGGCAGGGGGTGGGCAGCCCGTGAAGCGGCGGAGAAGAAGATCTCCGACTACGAAGGCTCAACGGCTTCGTGGGTCGGATTCTTCCCACTCGCCGTTGACACCTACGGCTGCCCGTGCGAGGAGGTGCCCCAATTCTTCAAGCTGTTAGCCGAGACCGCCGCCCGCAGGCTCTTCAACGCGGCCCCCTCATCCTACCAGGCTACGAAGCTGCTGCACCAGTTCCGCCAGAGGTGGTCCGTGGCGCTGCAGCGTGCTCAGTCGGTGAGCTTTATGGAGAAATGCAACTACGCGGCACAGGTGGAGAACCCACCTGCGGAGATGCCAGGCGAGGGCATGTCCCTTGGGGACTGCCTGGCCATCTTAGAGCCGGTGCTGGAGCTCCCTTAGACGGAGCAGAGGGGGAGGGGGGGTGAGTGGGATGTGTGGGTTAGAAGATGATTTGTATGAGTAGCATCTCTATCCTTTGCATGTCTGTACTTGCTTGGATCTAATACACGGACCGCTTGAGAGAGAGAGAGAAAGAGAGATAGAGATAGAGAGAGGGGTAGAGAGAGAGAGCACAACGCACTTATTAGCGTGGCTGCCAACAGTGGTGGAGCTACCGCTGTAGGCCCAGATGATGTTGTTGACGCCCCTGACCTGCACGGGCGCCACGCCTCCATCCCCAGTAGTCCGTGTGAAGGTCATAGTAGCCGTGGTCCCGGAGGTGGTGTAGGCCTTGCTGCCGATGGTGAAGGCCGTGGTGAGCTTCACAGAGGAGTAGCTGGAGGAGTTGTACGTGCCCACGGGAATGGGCGTGCCCGCCTGGTTGCCGATGATGCAGTCAGCGGGGTACATTCGGAGGTCTTTCCCGAAACACATGCCGAACCATCCGTTGTCTGCGCTGCCTGTCGCGGTGACCGCGAGCTGGATGGTTGCTGTGGTGGTCACCTGCCAGTGGAGCTTCATGCTGCCACGGGGACGGGGGAGGGGATAGGAGAGGAGAGCGAGTCAGGACGGACGAGGAGAGGAGAGGGGACGAAGCGAGGGAGAGAGAGAGAGAAAGAGGGATGGTGACGCTACTGAGTACGTACTATGATCCGAGGGTGACCATCGACGTGTAGCCCGGGAGGGTCGACGCCGTGCAAATCGCCAGAGGCGCAACCACTAGCGACAACGCCGCGCGCCTGCTGCTGCGACCGCCTTGACCGCCGCGGGGACCGCCGCTGACGCCAATGCTGGTCCCGTTGCTTTCGCCTCCGTATTGAGGGTCCTGCTGAGGCGGCCGCGACGAGTCAACGGTTTCGCCACGCTGGTGGTTACCACCATCGCCATGCTGCTGACGGCCTCTGACCCTGGAAGTCAGAGAGGAGACGGCCCGCAGGATGCTGCAGAAGCGGTAGCCGAAGCGCTGGCAGTCTTCCGGCAAAGGCGGCAGGCGCGGGTCCGCCACGGTGGTTGTGGTGGCCGCGGCGGTGAAGACGAGCAGCAGCAGGAGTAGCGGCACCGTGTGCAGGCGCCTAGGCAGCGGATTCGGAGTCACGGCCTTTGAGAGAGGCAAGGCTCGTTGTAGTAACGCCATCTCGGTAGTCACCGTTGGGATGAACGGCTGTGCCTTGCTGTCGCTGCTGCTGTCGCTGCTGCTGCTGTCGCTGCTGCTGTCGCTGCTGCTGCTGTCGCTGCTGCTGCTGGTGCTGCTGTTGCCCTGCTAGTGGGAGCAGCTGGGCATGCCAACCAATCCCTTGGCAAAAAGTTGATGATGGAGGGAGAGGAAAGAGTGACACTTTATCTCCAAAGAGGATGCGCGCGTAGTTCAGGGCCTGGTGGCTCGCGTCGCGGCCTGGAAGGATCAAGGTGGATCGCGGCTTGGCAGAGCCAAGCCAAAGGTGGCTCCCTCCCATCCCATCCCGGCGGCTCCCCAACTTGCGGGGGACATTCCTGTGCGGGCGGCCTCGCATGTTACTTGACGTGTTACTTGACCTGTTACTGGACCGCCGCGTCGCGGCGGCGGCCAGGAATCCGCGGAAGGTTCGTCTAAAGGTGATAACGTGATCCCCATCGTCCGAGGTGTCGTGAACCTGTGGTGGCATGAGGACCTAAACCTGTCCGACCTGTCAATCCATGCGATCGCGTTATCTGTTGGTCTTATCTGCTGTCTGATCGGTCGTTTCCTTTACCGTCCGATCTGTATGCCGACGTGATCTCGTCCCATCTGTCATAGGATCTGTATGCCTGAACCGCGTCGCTTCCGAAGCGAGCAGAGCCGGCGAGCCAGCTGTCTGCCAGCCTGGTCGCGAACACGTGGAGCTGAAAATTTGCTGGCGATGTCGCTACAGTGCACACTTGCTGTGCCGAAAGTGCTTCGTCGCCGCGCGTCACTTGCTTGCAGCTAGCTGACGTGTCGTTACGGGAACAGCAGATTGGATAACGATCGATGAGGGCACCTTTTCCAGGCGGCATTGCACGAGCGCATGAAACACTCTCCACGCACTGATTAAGTGTCCGCCGAATGGAAGCTACACCACGAGCTTTCACATGTAACGAGGACATGACTTCTCCACAGATGCGAGGGGAACAGGCGCGAGGCCGGCACGACTCTAGCACGCAGCGCTGGGATTGGGGACATATCTCATACGAGTGAGGTGAGGGTACATTCGGGGCTGCGGTCAGACCTCGGGACGGGACGGGACGGGAGAAGGCAGGTCAGGTCAGGAACTGGAAGACCCAAATTGGAGGCTCGGAAACCCCAAAGTCGGGAGGTGGTTCAGGGGCTATCCAGCTCGTGTATGTTTTTTAGGTCTGTTTCGTTGCGTCGCGGTACAAAACGGTAAACTACAAGAAAAAAAACCCTTTTTCCCACCGCTTGGAACCATCCGGAGAAACGCAGCATGAAACAGTAAACTTTATTTTAAAAAATGTTCAATGTAATGTGAGCCATACACAGACGATACAAGTGTACAACACATAAGCCATCGTAACTATGTGTGAGACATGGGAGCATCCCTGCCTCAGGTCGTTGTTCTAAGGTGGATTGAGTATCAAGCTTGGGTTGACCCAGATAGCAGCTAAGTTGTGTGTTCAATGCCCGCCAGGTCCCTAGATTGGTTTCGGGGCACGCTGAAAAATCAGAGTCGTCACCAGGGCTAATTTTTGGTTTTTGCCAACCCTTACGATCAGTGTTGCACATGTTCAAAACCCTGATTATCAGTGTGACCCCTTGTGGGAAAACTGATTCATCTGGGTTTCTGCTTAGTTTGAATATTCAACCCTGAGGCATCAGTGTACAATGTTCTCGAACCCTGCTGAAATTGTCATTAACAGAGCACACAATAACAAATTTACAGCTTCGACAGTTGGCAATCAGGAATCCCAGGTTACGGGGTAGGGGGGTTAGGGAAAGGGGGGGGGGGAGGGGGGGGGAGGGGGGGGGGGGGGAGCGGGGGGTGGCTGGTACTCGCTTCAGGGTAAAACTCGCTAAAAGAATCGGGAACACTGAGGCGACAGTGTGCCTTATTCGTAAACCCTGGCACATCAGGGAAAATCAAGGTCCCAAAAAAATTACCCTACGGCATCAGTGTTACACCCAAAAACCACCCTGATAATCAGGGTATCAGGGTGATTTACCCTGATAAAATAGGGCCTGGTCGTCACACAATTTCACGCTGAAAATCAGCCAAAAACAGCCCGTTCACTGCAACTTGCGTATTTTGACACAACAGTAGCAGCAGCAGCAGCGGCGGCAGGAGCAGCGGCAGCGGCAGCGGCAGCGGCAGCGGCAGCGGCGGCAGAGCACGGAAAAACCACTGTACAGTATCTCGTATCAAGGTATCAGAGTACCTGCTGTGCTACCACCCAACAAGTGTACACAGCACATCACGGCACCTGCTTGAGGAATACCCGGGGGGAGTTGAATGAGCCGCCACAAGCACCAGCTTCAGACTTGAGCTGACGTACTGCAGAAGCAGCAGTCACTCGCCCTTTCGACACACTCCCCCCTCTCCCTCCAACACCAACCCCCCCACTCCCCTCATGCCGCACACCTTGCTGCCTGAGCTCATCTCCCTGCCACACTCTGTCCATCCCACACTGCCCCCGACCGCCCCCCTCTTTCCGCTCCCTGCTCTCGCCTATCCCTCTACCAGGGCCCAGTCTTGAAGCAGCAGCAGTGGCAGCAGCATCTCTTGCATTTCTTGCATCTGCCATACTACTGGGTCGCTCGTTCCAGCTCCCCCCCATTGGACTCAGCATGTGCTTTCGGACCAAGCGCTCACGGGCCCTGTCTCCTGTGCCTGGCCTCATGCTCATGCGAGCAGCAGCAGCAGCAACACTAGCACCAGCAGCACCAACGCCAGCAGCAGCAGCGCCAGCAGCAGAACATCTGGTAACTGATTGCACTTCCAGAGGCAGGGAGAACTCCCCTGCACGCCCACACCCACCCTGATAAACGTCTGCCAGGCAGTCGCCACGACCAGAGGCAGAGGGAGAAGAAGCCACAGGCGAGCCTCTCACTCCTCTCACCCCCTCTCTTCTGCTGCTCCTGCCGTTGGCACCGGGGCTAGGGCTATCGACGCTGCCTCGAGCTGATCTGGAGAGTGTGCTGCTTGCCACACTGGAAGACCGCTGCAGGCGTGGCAACAAGAGCAAGCCTGAGAACGGCTCAGCACTGTGTGTCCCCTCTTCCATCTCTGCACCACCAGCATTAGGCCCACGATCAACACCAGCAAAACCAGCACCACCACCACCGCCGCCACCATATCCACTGTCAACAGCATCATCACCAGCTGTTTCTGCTGCTGCTGCTGCTGCAAAGGCAGCAGTGCGACCAATTTCGCCAGCAGGGTCCAAGCCTGGACTATAGCAGCTTCGGGCCGAGCCTCTGCCTCCGGAGCTTCGGCAACCACTGCTACTCCCCTGGTAATACCCATCCCGGGGCCCACAGCTGCTGGTGCTTCTACTGCTGGGAAACACACGTGCGCTGCATGGCCTCTCATGCCAAGCCTCCCGTGCAGTGTGCACGTCTGCACTGTGGGTGCGAGACACTGCACTGGCACCACCATCACCAAAACCAGCGCCAGCACCGGCACCAGCACCGGCACATTTCTCCATTACTCTCCGCAGAAGCAGAGAGTGATTGGTCATGGTGGCATGTGCCCCTGTGTGGGACGCATTTGGGATGCGTGGCCGATTTCCTGAGTTAGGACCCACTTTGCTCCCCCGTCGGCGTTCCCTCTCCCCCTCTTCTTCTGATGTCGCTTCCTCACCTTCCTCCTCCTCTTCCTCCTCCTCTTCCTCCTCCTCTTCCTCCTCCTCTTCTTGCTCCTCTTCCTCCTCCCCCCCACTCTCCTCCTCCTCCTCCTCATCCTCCTCCTCCTCCTCCTCCTCCTCCTCCTCCTCCTCCTCCTCCTCCTCCTCCTCCTCCTCCTCCTCCCCCCCCCCCTCCTCCTCATCTGTCTCCCCTCCAAGTGCCACCCATTCAGCAACCCCCTCTCCAACCCTCGTCCGCCTCCCCTCTCCACACTCCACCACCAGCACATCTACCTCTACTCCACTACTACCCACTCCCCTCCCTCCTCTTCTCTCCTCCCCCTCTTTCCCCTGCACTCCTCTCCCACCGCCCGCACCTCTCACACCACCCACACTCCCCTCCTCCCACTGCGCGTCCCCCTCGCTCACACTCCCTCTGCTGCAGCTACTCCCGCTGAGCAACCTCAGCAGATCATACTCCCTCGCATGCTTGATCTCCACCTCTCTCGCCTTCTCCTTCCCTTTCCCATTTCCCTTCCCCTCCCTACCTCTGCTCCCTTGCTCCCTGCGCTTGCTCCCTTTCCCCACACCCGCATCCTCCACTCCTGCACAGCCCGCACCCATCTGATCGCCCACAGTACCCCAACCCGGCACACTCCAACCCCTGCCAGCGTCTTGACATGCACCATCAGGTTCCTCCTCGTTGCCATCATAACCATCAGTAATGCCCTCTGCTTCCCCATCACCACCATCACCATCATCACCATCACCATCACCATCATCACCATCATCATTCTCACCTGAGCATGCATGCTCCTCATGATCCAGTACTAACATCTCCACAGCATCTACCATCCCTGACTCTCCTCTCGGACCTCTCCCTTCAACCTCGCCTGCCCCGCTCTCCCAGCTATCCCCATCATCCCCACTCTCCCCACTGCTCTCACTGCAACTAATGCTGCTACTGCTCCTACTGTCCCCACTCTCCCCACCGCTAATGGATTCTCTTCGAGAATTCTCAAACCCTTTATCACGATTACCACTGTGCATGGGACCTGGATCTCCCCACGGCTTCTCACCATCTGCGCCCTCCCCTCTCTCCTCTCTCTCCTCCTCCTCATCATCATCATTATCACCACACTCCCCCTCTTCCTCCTCAGATTCCTCCTCTTCATCCTCGTCCCCTTCCTCTCCATCCTCCCCATCCCCAGCGCCACCCATGTCCTCAGACCATCGGCTAGTAATCCCCTTCCGGCTACCCTCCTCCCTATCCTCTAAGCACAAGCGATCTGCACCGCTCAGCCTTTCTTCCGATCCCTCTCTCGTATGTCCTCCCACCTGCATGCCCCAAGGTAAGAACTGCCTTCGCTTTCCCTCCTCCTCCTCCTCCTCCTCCTCCTCCTCCTCCTCCTCCTCCTCCTCCTCCTCCTCCTCCTCCTCCTCCTCCTCCTCCTCCTCCTCCTCCTCCTCCTCCTCCTCCTCCCCCTCCTCCCCCTCCTCCCCCTCCTCCTCCTCCTCCTCCTCCTCCTCCTCCTCCTCCTCCTCCTCCTCCTCCTCCTCCTCCTCCCCCTCCTCCTGCTCCCCCTCCTTCTCCTCCCCCTCCTCTCTCCTCCCCCCAACGTCCCATAATGCTCCCTCCTCAACCCCAAGTTTCCCCCAGTGCTCCCCACTCACCCTCTGCTCCTTGCTGCTCTCTGCTCCTTGCTCCTCGCAGCAAGACCAAGGCAGCCCATTCTTCCCTGCAACGTTGTTTCCCTGCCACGCCCCCTCCTCGTCAACATCCTCAAGATCCTTGCTATTCTCCGCAAGGAGGGGGCCTCTCATAGCATTCTCGCTCCCATCACCATTGCACCACATGTCGTACACCCCACACTCTTCACCACCACCACTCCTCCTCCTCCCATCATTCCTCCCACCACTCTTCCCACCACTCCTCCCATCACTCCTACCGCCACTCCTCCCTCCACTCCTCCCACCCCCTTCCCTCCCTCTGCCCCCCTCATCCACACCCTCACTCCCTACCCCTGCCCACACACTCTCCCCTTCCCTCGTCCAAGCCTCCCCATCCACATCCCAACTACCTTCCTCTCCCCACCGCCCCTCTCCCTTCTCCCCTCCCGTCTCCCCTTGCCAACCCCTCAACTCCCCCCCTCGCCAATCCACGCCCTCCTCTTCCTCCCACCCCCCATTCGTCTTCCTATCCCCAAAGCCCCCGTGCACCACCACCACTGCACCCCCATTAGGCTCATCACTGCTCCTCCGATCCGCCCTCCAACTTCCCCTCCCTTTCCCCTTTACCCTCCATTCCTCCTCCCCACAACCCGGCCTTCCGAATCCCTCCTTTTCTTCCGCTGATTGCATAGCAGAGTAGCCTTCAGAACGCCCTTGTAACCGCCCCTTTAACCGCCCCTTTAACCGCCCCTTTAACTGCCCCCCCTTTCCATCTGCACCCGTCTCCCCAACCCACACGCTCGAAGGCTCCGACCCTGTCCGTCTGTGCCCCCTTCCCAATCCCCCCTCCCATCCCACTTTCCCTCCCACTTCCCCTCCCACTTCCTCACCCCCTCCTTCCCTTTCACCCCCCTCTCCCTCACCCCATCCCTCTGACCCTCGGCCAATCTCTCTTCCTACCCTTTCCCACTCCCCTGTCCCTCTCGACTCCTCTGTCCCTCTCCACTCCCCTGCCACTCTCCTCCCTCCTGCCCCTCCATCATACCCCTCCCTGTCCGGAATCCTCATGCTCTGGCTTCCCACACCCCATTCCACCCCTCCTAACCGCCTGCTGTTCCCCGCACCACCTCCCAACTCAACTCCCTCTTTCTTCTTCGCCCCTTTCTTCCCTCCCTTGCTACCACGCCCCACGCCGCTGCCCCTCTTCCTGCCGTCCCCTCCTCCTCCCTTTTGTTGCGAACCAGCCGGGGCTAAGACAGGGCCAGACGGCTTTTTAGGGTTCACGTTTCGCTGCAGAAAGTCTTGAGTGCGGCTAAAATACTCATCCAGTGCTTGCTGCTTGCGAGCTGCCAGTTGCTGCTGCTTCTTTTGCTCCTGCTTCTGCTCCTGCTTTTGCCCCTGCCTCTGACCCTTCTCCCGCTCCCGCTCCCGCTCCTGCTCCTGCCCCTGTCCCTGCCCCTGGCCCTGCTCCCCTCTGCTCCCCACCCTCCGGACCCCATTCCCCTGCTCCTGCACCTGCTGCTCCCGGCCCGAACTCCCACACCGCCACCGCTGGTTCGCGCTCCCGAGCCTGGAGCTCACGTCCGGAAGCACGTTCGGGACAAGCACCACTTGCGCTGGGGGGCGAGGCGGTGAGACAGCGGGCTGGGACCGAGCTGGAGCCGTTCTGGCCCTTCCCAATACACCACCTCCACTCTCTTCCACACCTGTACTGCCTCCTCCTGCTGCTGCTGCTGCTGCTGCTGCTGCTGCTGCTGCCGCTGTTGATGAGTGTGATGGGCGGTTGGGGGAGATGACACATCCGCGGACGATGGGGTGGCCTCTTGCAGTGGAGAGAGAGGTGACCGGCGCAGCAGCAGCAGCAGCAGCAACAGCAGCAGCAGCAGCAGCAGATGGAGATCCCGCGTGAAAGGAAGGCATGAAACCACGACTGCTGGTGACAATCGAACCCCCTCGCATTAATCCTCCTCCTCCTCCGCCTCCTCCGCCTGCCCCCCACGCGCCTCCCTCCGCCCCTCCCCATCTGAGCTCCTGCCTGAACACCAACGCCTGGCGCGGCAGCAGTGCAGGGGAGCGGGGTGGGGAGGAAGGTGAAGAGCCAGAGCAATGGGCACTATCCCTTCGCTCGCTTTTGCTCCTGCAGGTGCTTCCTAGGTCTCCATTCCCGCTCTTATACCTGTCTTCTTCTTCTTCTCTGGACTCACGAATGCTGCTCTCGCTAGGGCTTCGAGCCATCAATCGACCCATGCTGATCCTGCTGCCGCTGCTGCTGCTGCTGCTGCTACCACCAGCAGCAGCAAAGCCAGCGCCACCACTACCACCAATACTGCCACTGCTGTGCCGACTGCTGCTGCTGCTTCTGCTGCTGCTGGTTCGAAAGCCAAGGCTGCTCACCAGACTGCTAGCGGCACTGCCCCCACCAGCACTGAAGCTAGCTCTCCCAACAAACATTCTTGAGGTAAAGCTCTTGCTGTTGTTTCTCATGCTGCCTCTTTTGCTGCTGCTGCTGCTGCCTGTGCCTGCGTCTGTGCTTCCACCCACACGCTCCTCCAGCCATCGTGCCGAGTCCTCTCCCCCCCACTGCAAATGCAGAGGCTCGCTGGATGAACTCGCATTCTCCCAGACACTTCCTGCACCATCCCTGGCAGCAGCCGTGCCATTCTCACCACCAACAGTAGCAGCAGCAGCAGCAGCAGCAGCAGCTTCACTGGCAACAGCAGCAGCCGCCGCGGCAGGGGCAAAAAAAGTGACGCCGCTCATCATCACTCCCCTCACGCTCCCGTGCGCGCGCCTCACATAAGAACTCTCCTCCTCCTCCTCCCTCTCCCTCTCCCCCTCCTCCGCCTCGTCCTCCTCTGCGTCTGCTGCCGTGGCAGGCACAGGAGTGTGAGACGAGGTACTTTCGGCACCAGCAGCTGGAGTGTGCATGCGGCGTGTGCTCCCTGCCAGTCCTCCGGCAGTCAAGTCCCAGGAAACATACCGCCTGTGTCCCTCCCTGCCCTGCTGCTGCTGCTGCTCAAGCTGATTCTGTAGACACTGCTGCCGCAGCTGCTGCTGCCGTGGCTGGTGTTGGCTCTTAGGCGGCCTGCCCTCTACAGGTGCTCTGTTGGGCGAATATGAAGCACACACAACCGTACCCATAACACCACCACCACCACCACCACCACTACCAACATCAGAAGCAGAAGCGGCGGGGAAGGGGGCGACAGCAGGTCCGCCTGACCCAACCGAGCCGCCCAGCGAGAGCGACTTGCGATGCCGTGGTCGGCACGGATTGGACGGTGGCGTGTGAGGCGGTCGCGTCGCGGGCGCCGCATCTGGCGCGCAGCCTCCTGGCGACGATCGAGGCGGGAGAGGCATCGACGCGTCGACGCGATCGTCGCTGGGTCGGCGGCGGTGCGGTGCGGAGGAGAGGTTATGCGATGAGAGGTGATGCGGTGAGAAACGGTTGCCTGCAGTAGCATTCGGTGCGGTTGAACCATTGCCGACGCTGGAGCTTCGTGGAAAAGCCGGTGGCCTCGAAGGCGCCTGCCGTTGCTGCTGGGACACATTGTCGTTGTATACCGTCGCCGTCGCCATCGTCGTCGTCGTCGCCGACGTCGTCGCCGTCGTCGTGTGGTGGTAACCACGCTCAGTGTTGCTCTGACTGCAAGCGTCCCTCTCTCCTAGCAACAGGCCCGCGATTGGCGCGACGGCGTATTTGAACCGCCAACGGTTGACTTCGAGGTGTCGACTCCTCGCGTCACATGATGTGTCTGCAAAAGCAGTTGAATGGCAATTCTCTTCACATAAAGCTGCCGATGCTTGGATGGTAACTCATGTTTCCTATTATTAGCTTCTTAATTACTTAGGTCACGGTTCCAGACTTGTCCGCCCGCCATCCGGCCCAAAATGTCCCTCAGTGACGTGTAAACACACCCGATCATTGGTCACCACACAAGTTTCCAGAAATCTTGGAGCAAGGAAGCCAATCAAACGTGTACTTTCGTCTACACTTGTCCAGACTTTTATGGCGGGCGAACTTCAGAACCGTCATCTTACATTGAAAGCACGAGCAAGCTACTGGCTTGCTTCGTTCCATTGCCTGCTTCTCTTCTGCTTCTAGTTCCCTTCTGGCTATACTAGCTCCCTTCGACTCCCGTCGCTCTCATTCGACTCCACTCGACTCGACCTTGGGAACGCCGATGTACGGAAAACGAAACTTGTGTGGTTGTGTGGTGCTTGCTGACTGCTACAGTACTTTACCGTGCTGGTGGCTGGCGGGTGGTTCCCCGTGCAGCACCGAACTGGTCTTGGCCACAACCACTTGTGTACAGTACAGAGTACAGAGCTGTACAATCCTACTAAGGGCGTGTTGCAAGTAAGGGATCGATCGCCTCTTTGAACCGATCTCCACTGTTGAGCGTATGGTTACCATCCTATAATGTCAGCACTGTGCACGACCGAGGACACTGGTGAAAGCCAGCTCGATCGCCTCTGCAATGAAAACCGATCGTGAGATTGACAATGAAAAATCCTGCAGTCACGAAACCATTTCACGACGGGCATAAAAACTCGCAAGCATGTGTTACATCGGCTGCAAGATTCGACGAGACAGGGTGTTCAATGTTTCTGCGTTAGAAAAGCGAAAATCACACTGTCGCCATACTCCAGGTGGTTCTACCCTTGGGCGGTCGTGGTACAGAATATTTTGGCGGATCGAAAATGCAGTGAGCCCAGGATCTCCCACAAGGGATCGGTGTACAGCCACGATCCCTCGGTTTTCTAACTTGCAACACGCCCTAACATCTTCAACTCCATGGCATAAACAAAGTACCGCTTCATTAAATTTAGACTTGTGTAATACCAGTAGGTTAAAGCTCAAGGCCCAAATTGTTCAGGATTACTAAAGTTGACCCTTGGGTGGTGGGAAAGCTGAGTAGGAAAGTCGAGGTGTTTGAGGGGTGTAGGGGTTTGGTTTCGCCCAGCTTCTCGCCACACTCAAAACAAAATTCGCTGACTCAGCAAAGCCTAGGGGACGCTCAGGTTTGGTTGCACGAGTCCCATATTGCACAAATATTACTCTTGCCAGTTTCCCGCACCACCTGTTCCATTCGCTGACTCAAATGTTCTGGCCAATCAGATGGCTTCGTACATTTCGTAACCACAATTCGCCCAGCTAAAGCTGCAAAGCAGCACTCGATCAACCTTACTAAACTTGCCTCGCGCAGCCCGCAATTTGGGCCTTGAGCTTTAATTATACTCATAGAACAATAATAACCATCTCCTGCCAATCCAATCACTGCATCCTGCCAATCCAATCTCTCATTTCCGGTGGAGCCTCTGATTATGACTCTTCACAATCACACCAGAACAGATCACACTTTGGGTGGAGGAAAGTACCGTATGTGGTCAGAGGTGTGAGGGGAGAAGAGCGGCTATGGCCTCCTTTACCTCCTTGGCCTCGTCTGCCGCAATCATCGGCCCACTCTTGCCAAACGATAGCAGCCCTGCACCGCACAGAAGCACGCACAGAGAAATGGTGGGGCCAACGAGGGACACAGGAAAAAGGTGGCAGGAATTTCCAGTGCCATGAAAGACGGATGGGGGAGAGTAAGCTGCTTGGCAATTGCACTAGAGGTGTGTGGGTGGGAAGGTGCGAGGATGGGGTGGGGATGCATGCAGGAGAAGATGCATGGGAAGTGGGATGTGGGGGTCGCGGAACGCGCGTGGAGGGTGTAGGAGGGGTTTGGGGAGGAAGTGGAGAGGTGGTGGGGAAGGGTTATGGAAGAGAATGAGGGAGGAAGAGGTGGCGGTGTTGTGCGTGGCCCATTCAACAAACAATAATGGACAGCGGAGAGGACGAGGCAGGGAGAAGATTGCAGGGGAAAAGCGGGGGGAAGGCCAAAAGCGATGAAGAAAAAGAAAGGGAGGGAGAGGACCCGAGGAAGAAGCATGAGTGCATGGCATACCGTCAGCTTCGGTGCGCGGCAGCACGTGCACATGCACGTGGAACACCACCTGCCCTGCCGGCCCACCGTTGTTCTGCCCCACGTAATGATGCAGGGAGGGGGTGAAGCGGAGGGGTGGACAGGAAGGGGTGGGAGGTGAGAGGAGAGCGGAGAAGAGAGGGACAGCATGGTGAATGGAAGGCATGCCAGCAGGCAGCACGTGCACATGCACGTGAAACACCACCTGCCCTGCCAGCGCACCGTTGTTCTGCCCCATGCCCCAGTGCCCCAGAGCCCCAGTGCCCCATGCCGTGGAGGGTGGTGACGCAGGGAGCGGGGAAGACAGTGGGGGGTGGGGAGAGGGAATGCAGAGAAGAGGGGGACAGCATGGTGAATGGAAGGTATGCCAGCAGGCAGCACGTGCACATGCACGTGAAACACCACTTGCCCTGCCGACCCCCATTCTGCCCCATGCCTGGTGGGTGATGCAGGGAGGGGGAATTGGCAAGGGGGGTTGAAAGGGAGGGAGCGAGAGAGGTCTGTGTGTGTGTGTTTTGTGTGTGTGTGGGGGGGGGGGGGGGGGGGGGGAGGGGGGGGTTGTCTGTGAGTGAGTCAGTGTGTGTGTTGTAAGGAGCCTGATGATTGTGCGAATCCCACACACAGGCGCGGGAGAAGCAGGTTCGTAGCACGGGCACACACACAGACAGACAGCGGCGCATGTGAAACAATCAATCATGCGTACCTGGAAGATGTTGACCCCCTCTGCGCCCGTGGCTGTGCGCACGGCCTTGGACACGGCTGGCAGCAGCTTCAGCAGCTGCGCACTCTCCTCTTCTGGCATGTCCTCCATGAATGCATAGTGGCGTGGTTAATGAGGTGGGTAACACAGAGTGGTTATGGGGTGATGATGTGGTGATGATGACGGGGTGATTGTGAGGTGATGGCGAAGGTGGTGGTAAGCAGAGCGGTGAGATGCGGAGAGAGGAGTGGAAGTGGGAGCGCACAGGGAGAGGACGAAATGGCGAAGTGGAAGAGGAAGAAACAAGGGAAAACAGAGAGGGGATGAGTGAGGAAGGAAGGTAGGGGGGGTGAGGGGAGAAGTGGAGGGGAGAGTCGGGAACGACGTGTTAAGGAGAGCAACGGTGAAATGCATGGTAGCAAAACGGCGGGATGGAAAGAAGTAACGACGTGGTTGCAAATTGCACCGAAGACAGAGGACGAGAGCGGATGAGGGAAAGGGCGAGGAGGGGGGGGGAGCGGCATGCAAAGCGGAGGCAGGGCAGAGAGCGGTGGTGGGGGAAAGGAGAGAGAGAGAGAGAGAGAGAGAGAGAGAGAGAGAGAGAGAGAGAGAGAGAGAGAGAGAGAGAGAGAGAGAGAGAGAGAGATGGCGGAGGGTTGGATGGCATGGTAGAGGAATGGTGGAAGAGAGGATATGTGCTTCTTGGGGATGATGAGCGTGTGGCCGCGCGCCATGGGGAAGGCGTCCAGGATGGCCAGTGCGTGGTCCGTCTCCAACACCTTGTGCGACGGGATCTTGCCACCCACAATCTGATGGGGAGGCGTGGCAGACGGGAAGGGACGGGATGGGATGGGATGGGATGGGATGGGATGGGATGGGATGGGATGGGATGGGATGGGATGGGATGGGATGGGACGGGATGGGATGGGATGGGATGGGATGGGATGGGATGGGATGGGATGGGATGGGATGGGATGGGATGACAGATGGGGTCATGGTGCTGGGATAATGGGGTGACATCTGGGGTGATTTGCTGTTATGTTATCATCCTGAGCGTCTCGAAGACCTTGTGCGACGGGATATTGCCGTCGCGAATCTGAGGCGTGGCATGGGATGGTGTGCTGCCAGACGGGATGGGATGGGGTGTGCGATTGTGGTGTGGGATGGAGGCGATGATGGGGTGAGGGATGAAAGCTCTCAAGCTCTCTCAAGTCTTTTGTTGCCGCGGAAACAAATTCCGACTGGTGTTGCTGTGCGTGGCAGCGAGAGGCGCCGTGCGATGCGCGCCATGCAGATCGAGTTCTTTTTGGGGGGAGTGACGTGCAGACCGGCGCCGTTGAATGCGAGTGACGCGTCCCAAGATGCTCGCGAGGCGGCTTTGCGATGCGCACCTTGCAGAAGATGCAGCTATCCTCGCCGTGGGTGGCCACCAGCCCCGCGGATTCGTCGCCAGACGCCATCGCACGCACGCCCTGCGACGCTGAGCGACGAAAGTGGCGGACGGCGCCGGGGAATGCGATCGCAGGCGTCGCAGAGAGAGACCGCGCGACCGAGGAGCCGAGCAGTGTGAGAGCGGTGGGGAGTACAACCGAGGAAGGCGGAAGAGCGGGAGACGAGGGCCGCGGCGGAAGAGCGGCGGTGGAACGCGACGCGCGGTGAACCGCGGAGACGAAGCTGGTGCTGCTGCTGCTGCGGAGGGAGGGCAGCGCGGCGGAACGAGCGAGCATTGCGGGGAGCGCGCGCGGGCAGCTAACTACGTGACCCTATGTTGCCTGCCCTCGGAAAGAATTGTGCGAGAAGCAAGCCGGGTGGGCTGGTTCACAAAGGCAGTGAGGAACAAGACTCGACGTTTACGTCGGAAGGGTTGCGTAGAGTTGTATCCCCTATGTAAAAAATATTATAATGAAGTATATTATACATAGAAGCAATTTACCAAGTTTATGGAAGAAAATATATATTTTTAGATGTTTCTTCCCTCGAAATCGTTTTGAGTGTTTAATTGACATGGTACGGTTTTTTGTGATTGGAATATAATTGAATTGTTTTTACCTTTAGCTATTGTTCTATCAGGTTACCATAGCGGGTTTTTATGTTTCCACGTGACACTAGCTTCGAAGTCTAGTGTGAGCGTTTTTTTGAAGTATTGCCAAGTGCCCAGGTTTTGCCATTCGCTCTTGTGCTCATACTTCTATGAATAGAGAAAAGTTTCGGTGCCTTATTCTGCGCTGGCAGAAAATTTCTCGCCAGCTCCACGACAAACCAACCAAGCCCAAGGTATCCATCCCTTTCTGCCCCCTGGAGCCTACTAGTGGGAGCTGCTGCCAAGGCTCTTTGGAATGCTCGTTGCAATCAGAGATCTAACAACGTCGTCTCCTCCCGCTTCGAGATCTTGCAGCTCATCCTCGCTCAGTTTCTCTTGGCCTTCAAAATCTTTCTTTGGCGACGCTCTAAACAATCTGCCAAAAAACAGCAAAAGTCCGCGCCTCGAATTCGTGCAGCTAAACGGCTTCGCTTCATATCATTTGCAGCAGACGGCTCCCCATCCATCCATCCTGACCTCCGCACCTCTTGGCTCCTTGGAAACCCCTTCCGCCCTCCGTAATTTAAGTTCATCCTCATCACAGGATACTCCCCAGCGAAGCTGGTGGCTGTCCGCTAGGATAGGGGAATAACGTGTTCAACACGTACGCCATACGGTCGTTGGCTTAGTTTTGCCATATTCTCTGTTATTCTGTGACTTTGTCTGTAATGATTACGATCATAATATATTCCTATTCCTATTCCTATTCCTTTCACAGCTGTCAAACTCGATTTCGACGCTCTTCATTTCTTGATTCCGTTCTTGGTTCTGTTCTTGGTTCCTCCTGAGGTTCCGTTCTTGCTCGCTACTTTCTTCTCTAGCTATTTCTCCTCCCACCCACCGTCGCTAGTACCTCCCACCCAGCCGTCGCTCTCCATCCCATTCCCGTATCCTCTCCCTCACTTTCCGCCGTCACCTCTCCCTCCCACTCCGCCATCGCCTCTCTCTCCCACCTCACAATCACTCCGTTCCACCCGCCATCTCCTCTCCCTTACCTCCCCACCGTCGCCTCTCCCTCCTCCCCGCCGCCGCCTCTCCCTCCTCCCCGCCGTCACCTCTCCCTCCTCCCCGCCGTCGCCTCTCCGTCCTCCCCGCCGTCGCCTCTCCCTCCTCCCCGCCGTCGCCTCTCCCTCCTCCCTCTTGTCGCCTTTCCCTCCTCCCCGCCGTCGCCTCTCCCTCCTCCCCGCCGTCGCCTCTCCCTCCTCCCCGCCGTCGCCTCTCCCTCCCTCCCGCCGTCGCCTCTCCCTCCCTCCCGCCGTCGCCTCTCCCTCCTCCCTGCCGTCGCCTCTCCCTCCTCCCTGCCGTCGCCTCTGGCGACAGGTGCACGAGCGCAAGCGCGAGTTGGTGCGCGAGGGCGGGTCGATGCGCGAGCTCGGAAGGGTGCGCGAGCGCTGTTTGGTGCGCGAGCGCGGGTTGGTGCGCCAGCGAGGGTTGTTTTCTGAGGCATTCTGATTACTAGGTGCGTTCTCGGTCCTTTAATCCTCCCGCCCCCTTCTGAAATTTCCCCTTATATTTTACTTCTCTGCTCCCCTCGTAAATTTTGTTAGTCAATTCGTTTCTTCTTGCATTGCACTTCTATTTAAAGAAGAGGAGCGCGAGGGGGAGCGTGTGCACGGGAGCGCGTGAGAGTGCGCATGCGAGAGCGCGTGCGAGAGCGTGGAGAGAGTGCGTGAGAGAGCGCGTGAGGGAGCAAGTGAGAGAGCGCTTGAGAGAGTGCGTGAGAGAGCGCGTGAGGGAGCGTGTGAGAGCGCGTGAGAGCGCGTGTGAGAGTGCGCGTGAGAGTGCGCGTGAGAGTGCGCGTGAGAGTGCGAGTGAGAGAGCGCAAGCGCGTGAGAGAGCGCATGAGAGTGCGCGTGAGAGAGCGCGTGAGGGAGCGCGTGAGAGAGTGCGTGAGAGAGCGAGTGCGCGTGAGAGTGCGCGTGAGAGAGCGCGTGAGAGAGCGCGTGAGAGAGCGTGTGAGGGAGTGCGTCAGAGAGCGCGTGGGAGTGCGCGTGAGAGAGCGCGTGGGAGTGCGCGAGAAAGAGCGCGTGACAGAGGGAATGCGCAAGAGAGTGCGCGAGAGAGAGCACGTGAGAGAGTGCGTGAGAGCCCGTGAGAGAGCACGTGAGAGAGAGCGTGTCAGAGAGCTGTCAAAGCATATGCTTGTTATACATGTGTAGGCTGTAGTGGGGTAGCCAATATGGGGTACAGCCCCTTTTAGGGTTTCATACTTGTACCCAACTCTCACATAGTTCATTCATTCCTGCCTATACTTTTGACATGGTTTCAGAGCAGTAGGTCCGTAGGACCGTCCTTTTTTTCGGGCCCACCTACCGCTACCCCACGAATGTGCCTGTCAATGTACCTAGGACGTGCTGCACTGCGCGCACTGTCTGAGCTGTCTGCTGCTGCTTCGCGCGCAGACCTAATTTTCCAGTGCTGCCTCGTTTTTACCCCCGCGGGTCGCCCTCTCCTGCCCGAATCGCGCCTCGGCAGCCGCGTCGCGTCCCGCGCACGGCCCGCGCAGCCCGCGTCGAGCCCGCGCAGCGCGCGCGCGGCCCGCAGCTGCCCCGCGCAGCCCGCCCCGAGCCCGCGCGACGCGCGCGCGGCCCACACCTGCCCCGCGCGGCCCGCACCGAGCCCGCGCAGCGCGCGCGCGGCCCGCCGCTGCCCCGCGCAGACCGCCCAAAGCCCGCGCGGCGCGTCAGCGGCCCGCAGCGCGCTGCGCGCCGTCCGCGCAGCCCGCGCCGCGCTCTACCCGCCAGTGCGCGGCCCCAGGCAGCGGCGCGCGCCACCCTACCGCCGCCACGGCCTCGCCTTGCCGCCGACATGGCCCCACCCTGCCGCTGACACGACCCGGCCCCGCCGCTGACACGACCCGGCCCCGCCCTGCCGCCGACACGGCCCCGCCCTGCCGCTGACTCGACCCGGCTCTGCCGCTGACACGACCCGGCCCCGCCCTGCCGCTGAATCGACCCGGCCCTTCACTGTAGCCGCTGCTGCGGCCCCGCTGTCGCCGCCGTCGTGCGCCGACCCTGCCGCCGTCCGCCGAGCACCGGCCCTGCTCGCCCGGTGAGAGCCTGCTCTTCCCGCCACTGGTGAGCCCCTGCCTTGCTAGCGCGCTGCCGCGCCGCCTGCCTGCCTGCCTGCCTGCCTGCCTGCCTGCCGGCCTGCCTGCCTGCCTGCCTGCCTGCCTGCCTGTCGCGCCTGCCCTGCACGTACTATGGCTGTTACTGCTGCTACGACTGTTACTGCTGCTACGGCTGTTACTGCTGCTATTGCTGCTACTACTGCTCCTGCTGCTACTGGCGGAGGCCAGATGCAGCTCCAGCGACGTCCGCGTGAGTCCCTCACGCCCCAGCAGCTGAGTGAGTGGTACGCTAGTTGGGGTTGTGGCGGTAGCCGTCGTGACTGTCGCCCTGGAGCTAGTCGGTCGAGAGCGTCTGGCAGTGGCCAGCTGCAGCTGCAGCGGCGTCCGCGCGAGACACTTACGTCCCGGCAGCTTCACGAGTGGTACGCTCAGAGTCGAGGGTCTCGGAGTACCGTTCGCTGCCCGTACGTCCCACGCACAGGTGATCGGTCTGGTCAGGCTTGCGGGACACTTGGTCACACCCAGTCCCGCTGCTTCGCCCGTCTGAGCGACGCCTGGCGCACAGAGTTTGGTGACGAGGCTGAGGTCCCCGCCTGGCTGGAGCTGCTTGGGCAGGGGGTAGATATCTTTGCTCTTGACTATGATGCTATTCTCACTGCCATGTATGCATTGCCTACTAGTGATGACCGTGCCTGTTCCCTGTGCGTACCGCCTGACCCAGGTATAGAGGCTGCTGCTCTAGGTGCTAGTGCGTCTCCTGCGCTAGGTGCTGGTGAGACTGCTGCTCCAGGTGCTGGTGAGTCTGCTCTCTCTGGTACTGCGCCTGCTGAGGCCGTGTACACCTTCACACTTGACTCAGGTGCTTCCCGCTCCTTCTTTCGCGACAGCACCACACTCACGCCGCTCCGTCGGCCAGTTGCAGTCTCACTGGCAGACCCCTCTGGGAATCCAGTCCTTGCGCACTCCTCCACGGTCCTGCCGTGTCCGGCGGTCCCGTCTGACTCCCTGTCAGGTCTTCACCTCCCCTCGTTCTCTACGAACTTGGTGAGTGGAGCTGACCTACAGGATGTGTGGGTTGACCAGTTCATCCCTGGAGGTCAGCGTGTGACCCACTGTACGTGCTCCCGGACTGGTCGGCACCTGGCCACGTTCACCCGAGAGCCTGACTCGAGTCTGTACACACTGACCACTGTGTCCCCTCAGGTAGCTGCGTCTACGTCTGCGTTTGCGTCAGGTTAGCTAGCGACCCCCTGTTCGTGTCGCGCTTTGTCGCACCAGACCGTCCTGTGGCACCACCGCCTTGGTCACCCCTCGGTGCAGCGCCTTCGTCGCATGCACAGCCGTTTCCTTGTCTCTGGACTTCCAGAGACTCTGCCTCCTCTACCGCCCTCGCCTGCTCCTCCCTGTCTTCCCTGTGTCGAGGGGCGGCAGCGCGCCGCTCCTCACTCCTCCTCGTTCCCTCCCACAGAGGCTCCCTTGCAGACTCTCCACCTGGACGTGTGGGGCCCAGCCCGCGTCCGTGGACAGGGCCACGAGCGGTACTTCCTGCTGGTCGTCGACGACTACACGCGTTACACCACGGTCTTCCCCTTGCGCAGCAAGGGGGAGGTCCCTGATGTTTTGATCCCCTGGATCCGCGCTACTCGTCTCCAGCTCCGCGAGCGGTTCCAGTCGGACTTTCCTGTCCTGCGTCTGCACTCTGACAGAGGTGGTGAGTTCTCCTCAGACCTCTTGGCAGCCTACTGTGCGGAGCACGGCATCCGCCAGTCGTTCACGCTTCCGGCCTCTCCACAGCAGAATGGGGTTGCTGAGCGCCGCATTGGCTTAGTCATGGAGGTCGCTCGTACCTCCATGATCCATGTGGCTGCCCCCCATTTTTTGTGGCCGTTTGCGGTCCGGTACGCCGCGCATCAGCTCAACCTCTGGCCCCGTGTCTCCTTGCCGGAGACCTCGCCCACACTGCTGTGGACGGGGAAGGTTGGCGATGCGTCGCGTTTCCGGGTCTGGGGTGCTCGTGCCTTTGTCCGCGATACCACCGCGGACAAGCTCTCCGCCCGCGCTGTTCCCTGTGTCTTCCTTGGCTTTGTCCCTGACGCGCCTGGTTGGCAGTTTTACCACCCCACCTCGCGCCGTGTCTTCCCCTCTCAGGACGTCACGTTCGACGAGTCGGTTCCCTTTTACCGTCTCTTCCCCTACCGCACTGCCCCTCTCCCCCCCCCGCCGCTCTTTCTCGCTCCAGGTGCTCCCCAGGTAGACCCCCTCCCCGCTCCCGGTCCTGCTCCTTCAGGTGTGTCTCAGGTAGACCCTCCTCCTCAGGTTGAGGTCACTAGTGACTCAGGTGCTGCTGAGGGTGGTGCTGCTGCTGGGGGTGCTGAGCCTGGGGGTGCGGAGCCTGGGGGTGCTGAGCCTGGGGGTGCGGAGCCTGGGGGTGCTGAGCCTGGGGGTGCGGAGCCTGGGGGTCGAGACTGGAGGTGCTGAGCCTGGGTGTGAGGAGTCTGGGGGTGCTGAGCCTGGGGCTGCTGAGGCGTCTGGTGAGCAGTCTCCCGGGAGCGGCCGTCTCCGTAGTCGCTCTGCTGGTGCCTCGCCGCTGCACTCTCGTCGTCGACTCCCTCTCTCCCCACAGCAGCTGTTTGAGTGGTACGCTGGCCGTCAGGGTCGCGCTGCTGGAGCTAGGGGCCCTGGTGCGGGAGGCGCTGGAGCTGGTGACTCTGCCACTGGAGTTGTTTCTACTGGAGGGTCTGGAGCTGCTGAGGGTGCTGGAGCTGGTGGCGCTGGCGCTGGAGGTTCTGGAGCTGCTGAGGGTGCTGGCGCTGAGGGTTCTGAGTCTGCTGTTGCGCGGCTTTCTTGGAGTAGCCGCCTTCGTGCGCGTGTGCCTCTCACCTCGCAGCAGCTGCACGACTGGTACGGTCGTCGTCAGGGTCGCGCTTCTGGAGCTCGGGGCTCTGCCGCTGGAGGTACTTCTGCTGTCGTCACTGGAGCTGGGAGTGGTGCTGGTCCCGGAGATGCTCGTACTGGAGGTACTGGAGCTGCTGGGGCTGGAGGTGCTGAGTCTGAGGGTGCTGCTGCTGGAGGCACTGAGGTTGGAGACCCTGGGACTGGAGGTGCCGGTTCTGGGGGTGCTGCTGTTGGTGGAGCTGGTCCTGGGGGAGCTGGCGCTGAGGGTTCTGGAGCTGCTGGAGGTGCTGGCGCAGGTGGCCCTGGAGCTGGAGGTTCTGGAGCTGCTGAGGGTGCTGGCGCTGGAGGTTCTGTAGCTGCTGGTGGTCCTGCCGCTGGTGGCGCTGGAGCTGGAGGTTCTGGAGCTGCTGAGGGTGCTGGCGCTGGAGGTTCTGGAGCTGCTGAGGGTGCTGGCGCTGGAGGTTCTGGAGCTGCTGGAGGTGCTGGA